ATTAACCGCAGGAACCGCGATGCTGATTGCGAGTGGCTGCTGATCCGGCAAGGAGAAGCAATGTACCAAACCCAACCCAAGACCGCGGCGAGGCATTAGGGAGTCACATGATACCACAGCATGGAGCAAACACTGGGCCGCATCCTGCCCCCAGTGGGCACACGGGGTGTTTCCAAAAGCAGTTTGGTTCTAGTTTTGTTAAAACGTGCTTGGGTTTATTCAGACAGGTCGGTTCTCATTTTCTTAACTCATGCCCAAGTTAAGACCTAGAAGAGGCGGGAATAAGTAAGAAAGCACATCAGGTTCACACTGACGTGCTACAGAAAATGAAGATAAATATAAAAATGAACCATGGTGGGGCAGTGTCTTTCAGCGCAACAGACAATTTCACAGCAGTCTTCCATCTCAGTGGTACTGTCACGACTACCCCGTGTTACGTATTTTATCCATGGCAAGACTTCTCTAACTTTTTCAGTGCGGAGCTGGCACGAGAACGATGCTAAGCAAGCTGGCAAACTGGGCTCTGTGTCTCCTATGAAATGCAATTTTTCTAAGTTTTCATTCCAGGCAATTTCAAAGTGTAATAGTTCAGCAGGAAGCAAAGCCTGTGTCTGTATCCCCCTTTGGGGGGCGGAAGGGAGAGGTAAGTATGCAAGTGGACACATAAATGGGCAGGTAAATATCAACTGTGATTGGAAATTGAGTTAAAACTAGAATAATGAGAAAATAGCTGATTGTCTGTCACAGGGGCTCACTGGAGGGCAAACAGGAGGAAGGCAGGGCTGGGCAGGCGCAGGCTGGAGCCCGGGTGCCCCCGAAGGGAGGAGAGGCAGCAGCAGTAAGGCAGAGCCTTGGAACAGCAAGAGCACCGAAACCCAAGCGGGAAGGTGGGAGTGAAATCCTGTTACAATACATACTGGAGAATTTGGGAGCTGCTCCAAAGCACAATAAACCAAAATTTTGCTGTTTTAAGCACACAGAGTCTCATTGTGTGAAGAACTAAAAAAAAAAAAAAAAAAAAAAAAAGAATAGAAATGTTGTGAAATTGGGTAAAGGCTTCAGGGAACAACAGAAGCACTTCGAACGTACTGTGACATCTGAGTGTCCATCCAAGCATACGTATCCTGTCCGCCGCGATGGCATTCAGAGGCAGGTTTGACATGTGGGTTTCCCTCTGAAGTAGAGGGGGAGGTCTGCTTGTCCTCACTATAATTTTTAATTGAATTTATGTTCAGTGAGCATACCATGATTGCTCTAAAGATGGCTTCTGTCTGCTCATAATAAGGTTAAAACTCAATTAGTAGCTGCAGTATCTAACGATATTTCAGCACTTGCCAGAAGGCTCAACCAGCATCTGGCTAGCTGTAGTGACGGGTCCAGCACGTGTTTTATTTTGGGGTGGTGACGGGCCCCTCCTGTGCCATCCCTCTGCACCATCCCGTCCCGCACTAAATACTGTATCACAAAAACCTTAACACAAAACCATTCCCACCTTCACTTTGCAGTATTTATTAATTCCTCAAAGACGTACGGCAGCTGGAAAAACTGCTGAGATGATAATAAGGCTTTTGATTTATTTATGTGAGGATTAAGATTTTTTTTTTTATCTAGAAGAAATTAATTTTACTTTAATCAGCAACTCTAATTACCAGTAAGCCTCACGAAAATCTGTATGACCATTAGGAGACAAAGCCCAGGATGAAGCCTGCTGTGTTCCTCCCTCAGGTTTTTCCTTTCCATTTCTGCCCACCTGACCCCGATAAACTCATTTTTGCAGAATACCCTTAGCACAAAACAAATGATCTCTCTTCCTCTCCTTCCTTTTAAGCTGTGCCCAGTTTTCCCATTATTTGTATCTTGTTATTTACTCAGAATATTATCAAACATTGGTATTTGTGTGATGGTTTCAATATCCACCCAAAATACCAGTTTTAGTGTCTTTATAGATGATTGGCCTTGGCTGTATGCAGTGTGTAACTTGATTAAGAGCAGGTTAAACGACAAATATGTTCTGAATTATTACAGAAAATGGATAGACATTTGTAGTTTGAAGACATCCAGGAGAAAGAAAGGCTTGGAAGACGTAAATTAAAAATGCTGCCAGCAAAAGAGCACTGAAAATCGTACTGTCTTCCATTCTGTATTCGGCCACAAAACCTGGGACTCAAAAAAAAACCCTGCCTCAAACACAGTTACACCATTTCGTGGAGGCCCGCTACTTTGTCTACTTACGTTCCAACCTGTAAGCGCCCTGGGAACGCTTCGCACCTCCTTTATAGGCTTCCAGTGACTCCCTTCAGGAACTGTCCCTGTAGGTGCGACTCCCTGCGCGCCGCACCGGGGCTCCGCTCACGCTCTGACCGGCAGGCGCGGGGTGACGGGGGGAACGCGCTGCCGCGGGGCCGGGATCGCTGCTGGCCGCACCCGCCGCCGGTTCTCTCGCCGGCCCGAGGGAGCCAGCCCCCGCCAGGGCGCCTGGGCGGCGAGTTCCACCTGGTACCGGGGGTGTGCCCGTGCTGGGGGCAGCAGCCCTCCGCGGTGCAGGTGTACACTCCCTGTGGGTGAGGGTATCCCGTGCCTCTCCGGTTCAGTTATCCGTTTCTGGTTAACTGAAATCTTTTAATAATTGTACTGGCTTTAGGAGTTTTATCTTCATCCCATGTTTTCACTGCCAGCTTTGCTTTATTAGAATGATTCCATCTCAGCAGAGCTTTAGGAATGAGTTGTGGGGGAATGTAGGGATGGCCGTGGTGGGGGGTGAAGGAGCCTTTGTGGGAAATACGGGCCGGGTGGATCCATGACTGCTCCTGCCCGGCGTAAAGAGCATTTGTTAACATCGGGAGCAGGACTTCACCTCTGTGTGAAGAAACTCAGTAAGGGAACTGGCAATACCAGGGGAACGCTGATTCATACGATACTGACCTGTGCGATGTACTTATGTTTAAAGCAATCTTGATAAAAGCTGCGTAAACATTTTGCTATCAGAAATGTCTTGCTGTCTCTTCTTCATATGCTTCTGTTACCCTCTAAAAACCGGGGTAGAATAATTCACAAGACTGTCCATGACATGATGTCACTTCTGGAGTTGAAGGTGCCAAGGTGAACACTACCTCACCGCTTGAGACACACGCCATACTGCAGGACAGCTGCAGAAATTTGCACCTGCTTAGGGCTTTCATTTACTTCCACCATTTTAAGGGTGCTTTGGTGCATTAAATACCAGCTTTGTTCTTTTGGTTCACTGCTGCTTTCTTTTTTTTTGACCTCTGGTAGAGATTTAATTAATATCTTTGTTTAGGTTGCTCCTAGCTCAGCTTCATTCCTTGTCAATTACTGTTTTCATTTCAGGGTTGATTTAGGAAACATAGCAGAGTGGAACAATCCTAACTGCTTCTGACTTCTGCCAGCTGCCCTGTGTGCTGATTTCTGACTGACAGTCTTAAGGCTGAGTGGGCTGGAATGGTCTATGATCGTGCTGGTGGTCTCCGATTTGTTCAGCCGCTGACAGCTGCCATCTGTGCTGAAGAGTGGTGTGTGCCAAAGGAGGAACTAGGAAGAAGTCAGTTTTGTTGAGTCAGTCTGTAGCTGAAATCTGGCTGGAATTGCATGTGTGGTGGCTTTGTCCATGTTCGTTTCATACCTGCATAAAAATGGAGGCATTGCTTTTGCACGAGATGGGAATAATGCCTGGGATGTTTTCTTCACCTGTGACCTCTATCTTCACAGGAGTGACATAGCCCATAGCTGCTCTTGTAGTTTGGGTATTCAGTAGTTACAGCTTGAAGTATGGCTCTGATCCCATTTGGAAATTTTGAAAACTGAAGGGAAGTGTCTGGTACCACTCATAAGCTCTTTATTTCTATTATATAATATATAATTTGCATCTGTTTTCAAATCTCCCTGACAAATTTTTGTTGTTTTGCTGTGTGTTCTTTGCTAACTGCTGGAAGAAAGATCTGCACGTTCTCCAGGGCAGACATAATAGGAAGAAAGAATGTGAAATTACCTGTCCTTAAAGCTTGCTGCTGTAGTTTGATAAACTGAGAAAAATGTTCCTCTCGTTCCCTTCTCTCCCAGCTCTTTGTGAAGCAATTCAAGTGAGAGTAGGTAACCCTTTAAGGAATGAGCGTCCACCTCTGAGGTATCTGTGCAGAAGTTAACAATGTGATGCCAGAGAAGGGCATGCAGTATTTTTTTTTTTTTTTTTTTTTTTTTTTAAGATCAGTATTCATTTTTAAGTTGGATGATTAAAAATACAGCTCTTCCTATCCCTCACAAATGTAGGAATTTTATAACCATATATTTCCTTTTTTTGGAGGGAGAGGGGGAAGAGGAAAAACTGTGGAAAAATAATGGGATTTATATACAGAATTTTTAAGGTATCTATTACGTTGCTGGTTAGGAAAGCAAACTGAACTGAGCCTTTGCTTAGTGTAACGCTGTCTGGTGGAAGGCTGATGTCGAGATGAACGCTTGACTAACACTTTGAAGTATTTTGTCAGTTCCCTTATTCACAGCATAAATTTGAGGCAGGGGGCTTTGTTTCAGCCGGTGTGTTTGCGGCTGAGGCTGCTCGTTGACCCTACCCCAGGCTGGCTTGGTAAAAGGCCACAGGCTCCTCCAGCGGACAGACAGCGCTCGCGGTTGCCAAGAGCTCCAGAGGAGTCGGGGCTTTGCACAGTCCTTCGTTCCCAGGGAGCCAGAGCTCAGGGGTCCTGTGGTGCGAGCGATCTTGCGGTTGCCCCAGGAACCAGGGTGATGTTCTCGGTTACAGAAGCGGCCAGGGGAGCTGATTTGATGTGGGATGGCCATCAGCAGGCTTCTCCTGCCGTAAGTGCAGCTCCGCAGTCGCTCACGGAGCGCCTCTCCTGAGGAGAACTTCCTGCCTAGGCCTGACTCTCGAGGAGCTCTCATAAACCTCCGTTTTCACTGTGAGGCCGTGTCTGCAATTCATTTGCTCTTTTTCTGATTAGGTTTATTTTGTCTTTATTAATAGACCAGGATCTTCTGTCTAATAGGCAAACATGAGTCATCTGAAGTTGTTTGCAGCCACTCTGCAGTGGCATGGCATGAAACTCCTGGAGAAGCAAGGTACAGCCAGAAGATTGTTTTTACATGGCCAACGGTACGTTTCATCAGGAACCTCAGAACCATTCCTGAGTGGGAGTAATTCAAATTATGTGGAGGAAATGTATTATGCGTGGCTTGAGAACCCTCAAAGTGTACATAAGGTGAGTCTAAAACTTGTCTGTAAGTGATAATATCAGGTTAATAGCGGAATCGATTTTTTTTCTTTTTTAACTTGTTTTATATAAAGTCCAGAAAAAGGTCTCATATGAAATGAAAAATGTGAAACTAATTTCCCACATATTGATTGTTGTAAGAGGTGATATTGCAGCTAAAAAAGTACAGAGGAGCCACGGGCACAGTGAACTGAGCAAAAGGAATGAGAAGTCCAGATCAGAATTAGTAAGCTGCTCAGAAACTGTCAGCATTCCTCTGTGGAGATGCTGTTCGAGCAGTCTGATAAGTAATTAGTTACATCTAGAATACCCAAGAAATGACATACTTTGAATTTTTTTGGTTTATTATAATAAGGTCACATCAGAGGATATGTTATATTTAAACAGTATGTGTTGACATTGCTGCTCCTAAACTGTCTGAAGATGAATGTTCAGTTTCCTTTAGGTAGCTGTGGAAGTTGTAACCTTAAAACTGAATCTGAAATTGTCAGAGAAGCCTTCTTAAGTACCATGAGAAGTATTTTGTTCTGGCTCTCTCCCTCTCTCTCCAGGCGACATAGATTTGTTTGCTTTTTTAAAATTTTAAATCTATTGCCCAAATCCTTTCTTGTGGGCAAAATACATAGACTTATTTTTTCACAAGCTTTCTGCTGACAAGGGCGGCTCTCTTATGGTGATACATGTGTAGTAACTGAAGAAGCTGATGAGAAGTCTGATAAATTCCAAGACAGACAAGTAATTTTCTAGAGAAGGAATGTGAATTGTGCCCAAAATGTTTACCAAATTGGCTGTGTATTCCCTTATTCTTGAGGTACGTATATCATAAATGTCACTTGGAAGTTGTTGCTCTAAGTTGGATAATCTGTCTAGAGCATGAGGAAGTGACACATGTTGAGGGGGGGGAGGAAGAAAGGAAACAAAAAAAGCAGTTTTGTAGCTGGTTGTTTGGGTTTTTTTGGAAGTTGCGTATGAATTTAGACTTGTTGGAAGGTGACATACGCAGCGACAACTCTGAAGGCTGGATGTTATTCATATAGCAGATAGATCCCAGGTCTTTTTTATTATGCCTTAACTTGGAACTGAAGAGACCTCCAGGAGTGGCTGCTCCTTCCATCCCATCGCTCTTTGATTCCTCGCTGTGTCACTGCCAGTGTAGAGCAGGGGAGCACGTTGTGTGGATGCATTGAATTAATTCCTGAGAAGCCCTCGTGATGTGTTGGGGTTATAGGTCGATATTAACCCTTTATTTTGAGGACACTGAAGGGATAAACTCACGTGTAAGGAGCGTGCGTGGTGACATCTTGTGACTCGTTTTGTTGAAGCTCCATTGCTTCACGGCGCCCCCCTTTAAGAGGAATGACATTTCCCATTCAGACGCGTTACAGAGGGGTGAGTTTTGCTGCTGGTCAGTCTTTCAAACTTCTACTGGGGCATAGACCTCAGGAACTGGGCCCCAGCGCTGGGCAGGGCGCTACGCCGCGGGCAGGGAGCGTGGCGGGGCCGCTCTCCAGGGTGCTGACGGCCGCGGTAAGCCAGGACTAGGAGAGCCCGAGACTAGAGGCTGCTGCGAAATGTAGGCCTGCCTCTTGTTCTGCCCATAATTAGGGGTAGGTGGGAAGGCTAGAAATCCTGCCGGAAGATTGACCAGTTCGCCTGACAGCTCAGGCACCGCTGGGCAATGGATCTGGTGATGCAGTTTGTAGGTTGATCAGTGACCGATAAATTAGCAAAAGTGAATTAACAGAGCAATGTAAATATGCTGGGCGAGTAGGGTGTGGCCTAGTGAGTGCATCTCGACTAATTCAAGATGCATTTTGAAAACGTGTGGTTGCTTTTCTGGGTTAACTGTATGTAATATACTTACAACAGTAATGAACTGAAGTAAGTTCACTGTGTCCCTGGTTTATGAAGCTTAAAAGAATATGATTGATGGACATTGTGGATTGCTTTACAACTATTCCTGCCTAAATAATTAGGTTTTTCACAGCCTAGAAAAAAAAGGGGGGGAGGAGAATGATGCTGATTAATTTGACTTTATTTCAGCAACAAAATTAATTTTTGGTTTCATAAAAACCATTTAATTTCATCAGCTGTAAATACCTACCCAAGATTTTCGTTGACAGAAATTGTTCAGTTTGGGCTTTAATAAAACAGGTTAAAAATGTTGAGAGTTGAACTCACCCCGTTTTCTTAAAAATACAAAAAAAAATTCATGTCATAGCTGTATGACTGTAGGCAAGTTGTGAATTTGTGGTGGAAGTGATGGAAAATAACATCAAGAGACACCAACAACTTCTGTGGTGTTGGTTTTGGTGCTGTTACTGATTTGATTCTTTCTGCAGACCACTCGTATTTCGTTGTTTTATCCGGTATGTCCAGCATGGTTTAGAGAACCAATCTGTGGTAGGTGTTCAGACATTACATCCTCTTTACTCTTTTTCCTCTTTGTTTCCTACATTTCCTCATGTTTCTTCTTGGATATCACCTCCTTACCAGAGGGGATGTACCTCCTTCTAGTTGATGAGATGAAAAAGCTTTATTTTTCCTAGGCTTTAAAAATCATGCTCTGTTCACTTTTACTTAGAAACCTCAGTTACTCAAGTCTTCTCAAGTTATTTACCTCTCAGAAAATTTGAGTGGACATGTCTTCCCATGTATGCTTATTTCAAACTTTGAAATGTGGCTGCCGTGTTCCAGTGAGCGTATTTAGTGTTACTACCCCTTTTCCTAAGAATCTCTCCATTCTATGTACACCATGGCTATATATAAAGGAATATGCATTTATATCCATAGGAGCTTTTATTCTTTGTGCCAATCCATTCCTCTGATGACTTCCTGCTTTTCCTTGCTTTCAGATTTCCTGTCCTTAGAGTAGCCAAAACAACAATCAGAATAAAATGACGTGTGCTCTGAAAAAGGCATCGTTATTTCTCCTTGAAGCATGGTGTCAGGGCCATAGATCATAAGGGAGAAGCTTGACAAGGCTCAGTTATTACTCTCACAAGATTAATTACAAAATGGCATGGTTGGATATCGAGTACATAATGCCTGCCATGTTATCCTGTATGCAGCTGCTCTGCTGTGAGTGGGTAATCACTTCCTTGTTTTATGTACTTGGAGAAAGTGTGGGGTTTTTTTGTTTTGTTTTGGCTTCATTTTTTTCTTCTTAAATGATGTGGTGATGCTCAGTGTGTGTCTTCTATGGCTTTACTGTCCTCGCTGCAGTTGATAAATATTGTGATGTCACTAGAAAAAAACCCAAACCATCCGGATAACTAATATGTTACTTGTTATTTTAAGTGTAGCACTGTTTATTATATGAGAGTAGAATACTGCCACTGAATCACTTGAATTGTATTACATCAGAAAATAATAGTTAACTACAATATAAATTTGCTGACGGGGGAAAAAAAACCCAATATATTATATATCACTATGGTAATTTATTTTTTTTCAGATGTATTTTTTCTATTGTAAGTTTTCTCTACCATTTTCTGGAAGAACTTTACTGATTTTGTTGAGAACCTGCAGGTTTGCCGTGAGACCAAGCTGGTCTGTCTGTTCAGTCACGTGGCAAGTGCTGTTGCCAAAGACTGACATTGATACACAAGACTTGAAGACTATAATCTGGTATCAATCTTGAAAGACACTGTAGAAATTTGTGAAGGCTTTGATGGATGTATATCTAGAAAAAACTAATTTTCTGTAGCCAAATGATGTATTTTCCCTCCCTTCTGATTAAATGTCAAGCCTGCCCGACAAATCAATGTTCAAAAATGCGATAGGAAAAAATAGTGTGGGTTCCTTCTGTCCCAGCTGGCTGCATCTTCAGATGGGAACGTTTGGAAGGTATTTCCTTCTGAGTTTGCATGAAGACAGGGTCTTATGCTTATTCTCTTTAAACAGGTAGCTTGTTGGGCAAGTCTATTGGAATTTTTTTAGCAACTGTCTCAGTAGAGCACTTGTCTAAAACCAACTGTTTGAGGGGCTGCGATGTGCTTACATCTAAATTAAAAGCTTCTGGCTCAACAAAGGAATAGTTACATTATTCTCATCATTGTTTGTGTGTCATGGTGTTGGAAAAAGTGAGGAAGGAACCTTAACATAAGAAAAGCATATTCTTCATTAAAATTTTGGATGAATACCAAATACTAGATTTGTCATGGATCCAAATGTGTGTTTGGAATTTCCTAATTTAATAAAGTTAATAACTGTGTCTTGCCAGGGTGATTCATCCAGCCTAAGCAGCCGTAGTTGTAACATGAAGGAGTTGTATCTGGTTTTCCACTGTCAGGGAGCTGCAGACTCTCAGACTAGGTGCAGCCTAGGCATGGAATAACAATACTGTTGTTAGTACAGAGCAAGAAGGTGTGTGGAGAGAATACCAGAGGAAATGCGGTTACACTGATGGATTTATAGACCATTTATAGGATGTTGTGTAATTCAGATTTCCAATCTCAGTGTGGCTAGCGAGGTGTCACAGTCAGAAGAACATGGGAGATGGGCATAAATGAGAGAAGGGAGGGGGAATGAATTCTTCCATCGGTGTGTCTGGAACAGACCAGCAAACATGATCTATAATCTTAATTTGGCATGGCATATAAAAGTTAGGCCGTGTTTAGATCGAGTCTGTGTAAGAGCAGGGTGATAAATTAAGTAAGCTTACGGTATTTGTATCAGTGCAGCTGTGCCTCAATAAAGAGGCGAGAGGTGCGTTAGGGCAGTGTCTCAGGCAGCGGCTCCGTGCTAACGCTGAGGCTCCCGCCCGCGGGGCCGGTGGGTCCTTCCGCTTCCACAGCTTGAGCTGGAAAGGTTGGGTGCTGTTCAGCTCTCGTACCCTGCCCCTCTCATAGTGGTTCTGAGCACCTTAAAGCTTGTAGAAATTTCAGTATGAAGACTTTTTGTTAATGAAAACAGAATTTTAGAAATATTTGTCTGTCGTGCAGTGTTGGTATATTATTTTGATTCTTTTGTGTATTCTGTAATGAATATATTAAGTAACGTTCTTATTAAAAATCAAATCTTTGGGCTACCTTTTGTCTTTTCTGGTACTGGTTCCTTGGAATGCTTTAATGCCAAGCTCACAGCCAGGGTAGATAACATGCACTGTACAAAATGATATTTAGCTTTTACAGTTCTTCTGTTCCAGTCACGAAGACTTTGAAGTTTTGAAGTAGGTTCCTTTCCTTACTTAGCCGAATCGAGGAAAGTGTTTTATGACCTTCCATCGCCTCTTATGGAAACTGTAAACTAAGGGCAAGTATTGATTAGTCCCCTGCTAGTGCAGGCTTTCTTCTTCACTTGGTATAAGCATCTCAGAGGTTTTATTCCTTTCTGCTGCTGTCTGTTGGCACCCATATGTCTAATACCATCCCAGCGTGGGACGGTGACCACCTCAGCAGAATGGAAACAGTTCAGGAAAACCAGACCCGGGCAGATGTGGAGGAAGTGGCTTGTGTCAAAGTGCAGTTGGAAACAGAAGGATCTTTCACTGTCGTGATTCAGCTTCTGAAATGTACTCTTCTAAAGTTATGACTTGCACCTGAAACCAGGTCTATCACTTCTTTTCTAGTAAGGTAACTGAAGCTAGCGAGGAAAGGATCTTAGACCAGAGGCCTCACCCAGAAAAGCTGTAATTGCTTTTAAACCATTTCTTCAAGAAAGGCCCTTAAGGACAGATTCTGATTTAGCATACTCAGTGAGTGTCTTGAAGTACCATAAATTCTGTAAGTATCATTAAAGGAGTGGATTAATTTAATTCATAAGGTTTTCAGTTTTATAGGCTTGATACCTCTTTACCAGCAGCATGATATCATACCCATTACTGCTTGCCTGAACAAACATCACAGTTAAAAAGAGCTGTGGGAATGAATAATGTACAAAGACGCTTTGCACTCACACGTGCTGGAGAATTTTCTTCTGAACAAGCTCAGTGTAAGGCGTGAGATGAAGAGGGTTCTGCGTGACCGAAACACTGGTTGTGCTGCCTGTTAGTGGTTCTGGAACGGGCTCAGGTGCCGTTTGCAGCTTGAAGGAGCTGGTTTTGGTTGAGGTAATAAATTTTCCTCCTCCTTTCCTTCTCTGTGCACATGTCCAGTCCTGGGATTTGTTTTTCCGAAATGCTAATGCTGGCCAACCTTATGACCCCCACCTACCGGATCAGTTGGACAGAAAGGCATCGTTCCTCCAGAGCCATGGCCTGGCCCAGACCCCGGGTAAAGCTGAAAAGCTTGTTGAAGATCACCTTGCTGTGCAGTCTTTGATAAGAGCGTACCAGGTAAGTGTACTTTGGGCTTGGTGTGGGAGGGTCTCTTCTTTGCAAGCAGCCTTTTTCTTCCTTTTATGTTCTTTGTCTTCTGCCCTAACTCTTGCCTGTTGCATCGCTTCTGCTCCAACATGTCTGGAACCAGACCGTCCTTTCCTCCCAGCACAGCGTCTGAACGCTGCGGCTCTGGAGTCAGACTGGGATGCTCCTCTGGCTCAGCAAGCTCAGGGCTCGGATCACCCACAGCCCTGGTGCTGCTCACCTGGCTGGGCCGGGAAGCTCTTTTTGGAGACAGTCATTTGTGAAAGGGAACAGCAGTCTTCTGGGTTTTTGCCTGTTTACCAGGAGCAGGAGCCAAACATGTCAGTGCTTAGCCTTTGCTATTTTGGCTCACTGCACAAAGATTTTCTTTCTTGGGGTGTGTGTGTGTGTGTGTGTGTGTGTGTGATTCAATAAGTTACTTGACCAACTTGGGAACCTTAAGTTCTCTGAAATAGTTTTGCTTCATATGAAGGAAGTTGTCCTGGATATACCGGTACTAATGAATCTCCTGATGTGTGCAGTGAAATAAGAACTTTTCCCTTTCTTCAACAGCAAACTTTTCCATGGTCCAAGCCTGTCTTCACCTCTGGGAAAGTTTATATTACAGTTCTAAACGTTACTACCCTTCTTTAAGAAGGGAGGCAATGTGCTTGCCTTCTCGTGCATCTGGTGTGAATTTGGGTATTCCTGATTTGAGCAGGGTTATAGGTAAAAAGAGAGAGGAGAAATAACAAATTAACCAGAAGTTGAGTTTTGGTACTGACTTTGGGTCAGCTTTGAAGGTCTTTTAGAGAGCTGTTCATCAATGGACTTTGTTTCACAATCAGATTTTTTTTTTTTTATTAAATAAAGAAATTAAGTACAATTTTCTCTTTTCCTCGAAAAGACGAAGCATTTTGGAAATAGCACAGTGGTTTTGGTTAGATGTTTTCTAAATATAAAACAAGTTTAAACATTTTTATTTAAACTTGTGTTTAATAAAAAGCATAAAACCAGTGTGAAACAAAAAGCCACCCTGCTAAACACATAGATCTGTGTTGAGCAAAATATTCCAGTTTGATTTTTTTTTTTTTCCTTTTTTGTTTTAAAAAATGTATGTAACTTCCCAAGAAGTTGGCTACAGTTTGACTTGAGCAGATCCATTCTGCCCTGCACTAATAATTTTGAGTCCTCTGTGCTGCCATCGGAGGAATAGAAGAGGAACTTTTCTAAAAACCTTTTTTCTGTACACATCACACTGTCACCATTGTTTCGGATATGAACTGTTAATCCAGCAGTTGGAGAGGTGTTGTAAAAGAGTCAAAAGGTTTGTGAATATAAAGAATATATTAAATTTGTTTAGAAATAGCTAAGTAGCAACACCCGCTTCAGCCCAGTCGCTTTTGCCTGCAGTAAAACTTTGTTGGAAGAATTGGAGAAAATCAGAGAATGTTCGACGGCTTTGACACGGTTCACCTGAAAATAGCTCAGGGATTGCCGTTTCGTTTCCTATATTTGGAAGAGTTTGCTGTCTGACTCAGTGATGGAACAGGAATGTCTGTATAAATGGCAGGTGCCCATGTATCTGCAGCAAACGATGAGAGAGGATTGCCCAAGGCAACTGTCTGGTTTTAAAAGGTATTTAATACCCTCTAAATTCTGTGTTGAAGGGATAGGATCAGTTTGACCTTCCTTCGCCTGATAACGAAATGAAATGGAGAAGGATACAGAATTTTAATTTCTCAAACCTGTCGGTATTTTATGGGTTTTGTGGTAAACTGCCTTGTGGTCTGTTAAGCTGGGCTTCTGGAAAGGCAGTTCATCTCTTGCTTTTTCTAACGCAGAGCGCTGGACGCACTGGAAGAAGGTTTTCAGTGAAAGGTGTGTGTGCTTAACAAAAATTAGTGTAGATAAATTAATTTCTTGAGTCTTTTATAATGTAGATTTTTGGTTTTCATCTGTGTCTAGCAAATAGGATTTTAAAGTCTGGTTTCAGCTAGTCTGTACTTGTGTTTAGTCATATCTATTCCAAGTGATGAAAAATTTCCATACATGTATTTTCACAAGGTTGATCTCTGATTTTTTGCAGTTAGTGTTTTCTGTGTCCAGTGAAAGAAGTGGACTTACTCAAAAATAACTTGATAATGAGAAAAATACTGTCTTATTTGAAGACCAAACTGCTCCTGGAGTGTAATATGCCACAGCACCTTTTTAATTTGCTCTTCTGGGTTCTGGCGTTTGTGCTAATCCTCTCCCTCTTCCTCCTGATGCTGCAGAGCAGATGTAGCTCGGCGAGGTGAATTCTTTCCTGTTGATGATGTTTGAGACAGAATTGTTTGCTTAGTTCCAGCCAGATAGACTTTGTGCTGCTGTAAACAATGAGGTGGCACAGATGTTGCCGTGGGCATCGTTTGGCCTGTCGGAGTTTTATTACTGGTGATTCATGAGATGCAAAGAATCTCGGAGGCCAGGATGAATTTGTAGGACTGGTGGTTCTAAACAGGACGCCCTACTTCTGTTAGCTTGTGAGTGGGAAGGGTTTTGTTATGAGCAAATACAAATTGCAAACACAGAACATTTCTATGGTGTTTTTACCAGTCACTTCTTGATGAATCACACCTTGATTACACTCTATTACTGCCTGATGCAATTCATCATTAATATTGCAGTTTATTAACTTTTTTTCCAGAGGCAGAGTACTAGTAGCGTGAACGAAATTCTACCCAGGTGATCTGAATGTCTCGTTAAAAATATTAAAGAAAATATTCAAATATTCATCTATAAAAAACTTTTAATGAGATCATTTGATACATGAGAATCACGCTCAAGGGACATTTTAAAAAATGTTTTTTATTTTTGGCTCTGGCTCAGTTATTTATTCTGTAGCAATGTTAATAGAAGGCACTAGTTTGCAGCCACTTGTGACATGCATTAACACCAGTCATATTGTAAACTGAAAGCTGCCTAAATTCCCCATTGATTTTGTGTTCTTTGGTGTCTTGAATGTCAATTTTATTATAGATTAATTTCTTGAAATTGCATGAAGGCTATCTGATGTGGAGCAGAGCTCGTGAAGAGTCATCCCTTCACTTCTGATATGAACTTCTTCAGCACCAATCTGTTTTAGGTCAGCAGTGCTCTGTTTTAGTGTTCTGCAGATGCAGAAAGGAGGATTCAGGCAAAAATGCAAAATGACTGAATTATTAAAGAATAGGATCTATAGACCAGGCATAGTTTCTTAATTTTTACCCAGAGATTTAAAGTGGTTTTATCTTTAGTATTTTTTTGTACTTAAACTGGAATTACACTGAAGTCTAAATTGTGTGTCAGACAAAATAAAGGTTATGTTCTAATGTGAATGCAGCAATTTTTAATAGAGGTAGTATGCATATTCAGAGTTATAATGGTTATTTCCTGTTCTTATTGGAACACTTGGGAAATGTGACCCTCTTGTGACATTAGTGGTGGTTGCTTATTTGACTCCGTGGCTGATACACCTACTGTGGAGAGAGATCAGTGATTTTTTTTTTCCCTTTGTCTGACTTCTGTTAGTGTGATTTCATTTTTTCTCTCACTTCCATCCTTTTTCAGATCCGTGGCCATCATGTGGCTCAGCTGGACCCTCTTGGAATTCTGGATGCGGACTTGGATTCATTTGTTCCATCTGACTTAATCACCACGATCGATAAACTCGGTGTGTACGCTCTGTGCCTTGGTACCTGCAAAGGCCTCTTGTCTCTTCTCTCTCGTTGGGCTGTGGTGAATAAGACCATTCGGGGGAGCTTTTTCTCTGCCTGCTGGTATCATGAAATAGTTTCTGTAAGCATCTATAAGGGGGCTCAAATGTCAGGATGATGGAATTTCTACTGTGAGATCACAGGTGAAGTTCCTGCGAATTCACCTTCTGATGAACGATTATGGTTTTGAGCCACACCAGAAATTCATACTAAACAATACCTTAGGCCAAGATTCTGGTAGTCTAAATTACTTCTCTAGCGTTATGCTTGATACTTGTTTTGACTGGGGACATCTGAAGGCTAGTCAGTAGGAAAACCAGGCAATAAACAAAACACTGGCTGGAGGAATTTAGGGTAAATTTCATAGCAAATTTGGATTCTAGCCTCTGATACTTGTTCCTTCCGTATAACTTGAAGAAGTCTGTTTGAAGGTATCAGGAGAAAACACGGGACGTGTGGAATTCTTGACCTGTGGATATAACCCAAAGGTGCTACCTTCGGTTTGCTGCTGGAGCAGTGTCGTACACCAGGGGCTGCTTTTCCCAAGGTTTTGCGGGCATCGCTGAGAAATTGCACTCATCAATTTCTTTGCTCCTCTCTACTTGAATGAAAGAACACCTGATTGATTTTTTTCTCTACTGTTCAATCTAGCTGGCTTGTTTAAAATGTGGTTTTCTTCTTGATAGGCACTGAATCAGTTTTTCTTTGTTATGTAGGGAAGCTTTTTGGACCAGACATAAACCATAGTGCAAGTAGTAGATAAAACACGTTCTACTTGATTTTACTGTTAAGTACCTACTGCCTCTTTGCTGCTGTGCTTTCAGTTCTGACCCTTGACCATGTGAAGGCGGTGGAGGGCTTAAGCCTGTAAATGCAGAGGTACTTACACAAATCAGGGGTACTCTTTGAAGTTTGTCAGCTCTAATTAAAAGTACCTACTAGAACATACATTAGACGTTTACTGGGCAAATATAATTTGTTTGGAGCATGGGTGACTGCTGGCATGTCAGTACAAATTTCCTTGAACTGTACAGAATGAGATGGGGGACGTGTCTGAGAGGGCAACCGAGGTGATAACCTCAGTTAGTGAGGGGAAGCAAAATTTCTAACCTAGTCTTGACAAAACAAAAAAGAGAAGGATCTCAAACGTTGCCTATCCTTGAATGTTCCAGGCAGGAAATTTATGAAAGGTCTCTGTTAGTACAGAAAGTATTTTAGTATTTGATTTATTTATTTTTTTTTTTATTTGTGCATTCGCTTTGTCCCATCTTCTGGTTTCTTTTTTGAGAAACCTCCTGGTAGGAAGTTTCTTCTGGGAGTTGCTTCTGAAAATGCAGCTAGTTACAGCTGTACCTATTGCATGATGCAAGTTATATAATTGCTTTCAGGAGCTCCTGGATTGCCATAAGGTTGCATCTCTAAACGTGAGGTGATGCTTCACTAAGTATGCAGTGCTGCAGTACAAAGCACAGATGTTCTGTGTGTGCCCAATTCATTCCTGTCCATGTTCTGGTTTTTGCATGACAGAACATGAAGAGCCTGAAATGTCTGAGAGAAAGTCAGCAAAGGGGGGGGAAAAAAAAAAAAAAAAGGAGATGTTAGCACTGCTTTGTTTCAAATGACGCTAAAGACCCTGTCGTCCCTGGTGTCCCTTCCCCCTCTTCCTTTTTTTCCTCTTTTTATTTTTATTCTTTTACTATTATAGAATTAATTTGGTGCTGGAGAAACCTATTGTGGTACAAAAAGGGAGAAATAGTGATGAACAAACACTTTTTTTGGTCACTCTAGTTTTGATATTAAAATATATTATTAAAATTTAAAATATTTAAAAAACATTATTTTAAAAATATTTTTAAAACATATTATTTTTAAAACACAAAATACGTTATTACTGGTGGTGCTGTATAGTTGAAGTGGTGGCAATGCAGTTCTATGGCCTGATTTCAACTCTAAATCACAGAATCAGACTGGTTAGGGTTGGAAAGGACCTTAAAGCCCATCCAGTCCCCCGGGCAGGGCCACCTTCCACTAGCCCAGGTTGCCCAAAGCCCCGTCCAACCTGGCCTTGAGCCCTGCCAGGGAGGGGGCAGCCACAGCTTCTCTGGGCAGCCTGTGCCAGGGCCTCACCCCCCTCACAGGGAGGAACTTCTTCCTTATATCTAATCTACATCTCCCCTCTTTCAGTTTAAAACCATCACCCATCATCCTACCCTACACCCCCTGATCAGGAGTCCCTCTCCCCTCTCCTGTAGCCCCTTTAAGTACTAGAAGGCTATTTTTTCTGTTCTTCATTAAGCAGGTCTAAGTTAAACTTCACCATCCAAACCCTTCAAGTTGCATCAATGAGTCTTTCAGTCTTTTCAGTTGTGTAGTTTGGCTTTTGAAACTGCGTAATAGTTAAATATTTTCTTAAACCATATTCTCAGTCAGAAATCGTTTCGCTCTGTCTCAATCAAGATGGGATGCTACTTGTTTTATTTGGGGTGCGTGTGGCAATCTGTCTGTTTTGTCGGGGGTCGCCGACTGGGGCGGGGAGCTGTACAGCCCTTACACCGCCTGGACGTTACACTGCGAAAGCACTTCCTGAGAGAGGGTGACCAGAAATACCTCGGAAGTTCTCCCAGAGCGTTTGCACAGCGTTATATTGAACATGTTCTGTATTTTCTCTTTGTCTGTCTATAACCTGTATAAATTAATCCAGTGTGCTGCCAGCCAGCTGGTTCTGTGAAAAGGGGTTAATTTTGTTTGTTGCTCGTGACAGAGCAAGGAAGAAATCCCAGTCGTTACTCTTAGTTATTTTATTAAACAGTGAAGTGCAAGATCTAATGTGGGGAATTGATGGCACATGCTAAAATAGAAGAAGGTTTGGGTGGTTGTCATTTCATTTGTTCTATCGGAGCATTTAGGAAAGAATAGTTTGGTACTTCTAATCAAACAATAACCATTTAATTTAAACATTTCTTTTTAAAATTCACACTGAAGTGCATTGTGCTAATGGATTCCTCCAAAATATTTACACTTCCAATTTTTAATCCGGTACCTTCTTTTGTTAATATTGCTTTATTAAACTTAACTTGTGGTCGTTTGAAAAACAATGCTGCTTTCCTTTTTGCCTGCTGCCCTGCTTCACAAATCGACAATGGGCCTGTTGCAGGGTTTTATGGTTTGCATGAATCGGATCTGGACAAAGTCTTTCAGCTGCCTACAACGACCTTCATAGGAGGAAACGAGAACAGTCTGTCTCTGCGAGAGATCATCAAACGGCTGGAGGTCAGTAGGATATTTTTTGATTTGGGATTTTTTCCCCGCAAACAGAAGCGAACTTTTTCCCCGTTATCAGGCACAAAAACCGTATCGTTTGTCAATTATTAATAGAGCATGTAAAGAATTCAAATGACATTAAAAAATAACCCTTGTACTGTTTCTAGAGATGGCAGCACCATTAGTTTCATTGCCTTGGTATCTGAAATACGCAGATTAAGGATGAGCATAAGAGGTGAATATGGTAGAATACTAATTCAGGCTCTAGTTGTGTAAAGAGCTGATGTTGTTTAAAAGGAGGAGAGCCTTTACAACTTGTCCTAAGTGTCCTACCACAGATAAACCACTTTGCATACAGTACTGGGTGCAGGGGTTGCTCTCAGAGCCCTCGCTTTGGTGAGACTTTTACCTGAGTGGAAATATGAGAGTTGGGTACCAAATTCCTGAAAGCCCAGCTGTAGCTTGTAGATAGTGATGGTCCTTGTTTTCCATCCTCAATCCTTTTTCTAGAGTTTCACTGTCTGACAGGTGATATGGTTATGCCATGTGAAGTCATCAAAGCTAAAATGATTTAAAGAAAAAATAATTTAAAGGAACAAATTTAATTAGAAGGGAACTCCATATAGCAAAATGGCAAGTACGAATGGTAACGAATTAGTAAGTATTGGATATTCCTGATTGTGCTTTTTCCAGGATTTTGGAATGTTGAAGTTGCAGAGATTTCTGTTGGGTGGTAATGAAATCCATTGGACTAAAAAGGGGTAGGGGTGAGGAAATATTTTAATGGGTGAAATAGAGAACTGGGTTACAAGAATGTAAAAATAATTACTGAGCTTCCACCTGTTGCAAGTGTGAGAGAATGTGTTGACTTGCGTGTTTGACAATTACAGTGGCTTAGCTGGAGCATGGTAAATTGTTAAGCCACAACATCTCTGTCGTGCATTTGAGCTCTTTATTTGCTTTTTGGTTTCTGCATTTCTAGCGTGTCTGTGCAGCAGTTTTCAAGAGATGATGCTTAAAATGGTGATGTGCAAATAAAGGGACAAAATCAATAGCAAAATCTAAAATCTCAAGGAACTGATTTGTGTTAAAGAGAATTAACTCTCTGGTTTCCCTATTCTCTCCAGAGTTTTGGATTTTTTTTAATTGAAGTTAACATTAAATTCCTTTTCCGAGGCAGGAGATAGCACAGGCTGTGTATTCAGAGTGGTGTTGTCTCAAACTCACAATAGGTCTTACTTCTGTTGACTTGTATTTTGGACACATTTTTCTGGTGAAATATTCTTTTTAAGGTAAAAAAAGAAAATTTAAAAAATTCAACAAAAAGCTAAAATTTCTGAAGTGTCTCTATATTTTTTTTTCCCCCCTGTCCTTTCTGCTCTCAGCTGCTTGAATTATTTCTCAGATTTCCAGCCTTCTGATACTTGACAGTTATCAGATAATTTGCATGAGGCTTCATAGCTGTCTTTTCATCATCTCTGTTGCTTGATTTCAGATGACATTTAAAAAAAGACAGGGTAAATTTTGATAAATTACTTGAAATCTTTGCTGGTGCATCTAAAGAAAAGAGTCTATTATGCCTGGAAGCGAGTTAGGTGAAATATGCCCATCAGTTCCAGACAGGTTTATTGGCCTGATTTCAAGGCATTACCAAACGAGAACCTTCCAGATTCAAAATTTTGAAATGTTACTTTGTAGAGAAGGCTTTCTGGCACAAACCAGATAAAATAATAAATTAAATAACAAAAAAAATTAATTTATTCACTTATAGGATTACCGTGGGGAAGATAAGTGGAAGAGGAAGGAGACAAGATAGCTTTCAGAAGAGTAACATAGACAGAAAATATAATTTAAAAGATGTATTTGTTTCTTCTTGGCCCATTAACTCCTAAAGCTTCTGTGTTGGTGTTTTCACATCCTAGAATACCTACTGCCAACACATCGGCTTGGAGTTTATGTTCATCAATGATGTGGAGCAGTGCCAGTGGATCCGGCAGAAGTTTGAGACGCCAGGAGTTATGAAGTTTACTAACGAGGAAAAAAGGACTCTGCTGGCAAGGCTGGTGCGCTCAATGAGGTACGCTGCGGGGGGCTGGGGAGCTGCCCTGCCTGCTGGGGGGAAGCTGGGGCAGTCTGTAAACCGCTGAGGTGGAGGTGAAGAGGCTTCAGTGAAGTCTGGAGTACGGGAGGGTGGAGTTAGCCTGGCTGTGACGTGCCCTGTGAGGCGTGTCGGGCTCTGTGCGGTGACTTGTAGTATTCTGTTTTCTTTAAGGGCAGGTTGTGTGCTGTAACACTTGTGCAGCCTTAGTGGCATATCTGGCAATGTTTTCACTGCCTCGCAGAGATAAACCAGGGAAATAATTGTTCCAACAGACTAGTAATATGCACCTGTGTTAAAGATTCATAACCCGTTTCAGAAAATGGGTGCCAGAACAATGTTGGATGCTGATCTTCGGCTGTGTTCTATCTACTGCGCGTATTTCTAGTAGGACATGATCAAAGGAAACCATCCTAACAGTCAGCTTAAGGAGACTTTTGAGACGTGTGACATGTTGAGGTGAGCGTTGGCTCGCTGGGATGCTAACAGTCTCTTGGGAAAGCTGTGCCAAGGCGGGGCTGGCTTTGAGAGGTGCAATGAGATTTCAAGCCCTGGTTTGGCCCGTCTCCTTTTGACGTATGCCAAGATGTGCTGTAGTGTTCCATGACCTGGCAGCAGGAGTTTTGGTCTCTGCAGTGTGTGAAAGCATGATGGAAACAGCTTATGGATAGCTCCCACTGGGACTGTATGGAAATATGTGATCCCAGAGACTGAATTACCCTCGCACCCCTAAACCAAGACTGTCTTCTCAGGCATAAGATTTATTCTGGTTCTTACAATCTGAAACAGTTTGCATATTCCTTGATAAACGTGAGTCAGAGACTTACAAAGACATATTTTTTGGTTAAGCTTCTGTGTTCAGAGACTTAAATGAAGTGCTCATTGGAGATGTTAAAAGATATTTTTGCCAAGTGGGTTTTTTTTGTTGATATTATAGCAAGATTCTTTGTCTGGTTAAAAGTTTAATTTAAACAGAAATTTAAAAAAAAGTCCCTTAATGGTCAAGTGGATATTGCACTTGAGTAAGTTTTTTTAACAAGCTCTCAGTATGAACCATCTCTGTTTATCTTGAGACAAGAATTTGTGCTTTTATTCCTTCCTGTCTAAGCTGGGGGAAGATCTGGGGTTTCTAGTAGCATGAAGGAGCTGAACATTCATCTTCTGCCAAATTAATAATTGTCTTCTGAAAATGGGAGAAGAAAGTTTTACATAAATTTCTACCTAGCTGTCTCTAGTGTGTGCTTTTTTGTCTGAAAATGCTAAAGAAAAAAAAAATCTGCTTTTGTGTAAAACTGGTCATCCTCTTGAGATTTGGGCTTCGTGAAGCAGATGGTCGTCATTTTGCTGAAGAATACCATTTTCAGTAATGTTCATTCCAAGTACTGCGTATTTCAGGTTCTGGAAACTGTATTTTAAAGTGGGATTTCTCATCCTTTGTGGTCTTCACTGGTAGGTTGTTGAACAAAGGGTCAATTTTAACTCTTCCTCCCGTTAAATACTCATTGTATGTATGTTTGAGCTGCTTTGTGTACGCATTAGTAAACGTGTTAGACCCTGATTGTGTAGTCTGATCTGGACATCTTAAGCCTGTGCAGGGGCCAGCATTCCTGGACTATCCCTTCCCGGAGCAACCATCTTTGCTAAGACTTGCTCCTCACTGGGTTCTGAACACGTGCAGTGGCAGTGGATGAGTTGCCAGCCTTTGGGAACTCCCAGGGGCGTATATGGGCCTTGAAAGATGGGACCGAAATATTGTAGTTCTGCACACTTAGTGGCAGCTTGCTTCAAGTAATGAACTTTCTGCTCGTCCAATACTGCAGCTGTAAAGAGGAGGAAGGCAGCGTGTACCCCACTTTGATTTGCCCTCTAGGACTTGCTGTTCGTAGGGGGCCCCCCTTTCAGTTTGTATAAATTGGGAGGAACTCTGGCAGCGAAGCTTAGCTCAGCGTCTGGCTTCTTGCTTAGATGACTGGATTGTGAGGGTATTGATGGGCGAGCTGAGAAGAGTCTTTTGGCAACTCTTCACTGCTTTTAGGACTTCAGGCTAGAGAGGTAAATGTCAGCATCCTGAGCGAGGGGCAAGCTGAGTGTTAATGGATTATGGCAGCGCTGTGAGTCGAGGCATTGCACAGCTGATGGAACCAATACACTTCTTTTCATGAAGATGTCTTTTCCTTGCCTGTTGTATCTCCAAGCTTCCCAACAGGTAATGTTTGTTAAAAGGTGCTTTTTAACCACTCGCATTGCCGCTGGCCCAAACGCATTAAAGAATGAAAGAACATTTTGCTGTCACGGGTTGAAACCTTCCTCCTGCTGAAGCTAGGGCAGAGCGACGGGTGCCCTAGTTCTTGGCACGTTACCAGCTGTTCCGTCACACAGTCTGAGGAGCCCTGCTGTTGAAATAGCCCTGTTTTCTGCTGAAGTATTTTATCATCACTTCCAGATGATACAGGTTCTCTGTTATGTTTTCTTCCACCCATAGAAGAGACTTTGCTGTCACTCTGCCTTCCCAGTGGTCAGTACACATTTTGTGTACGTGAGAAGGAGCAGAGTTTAACTTGGGATGTGAATTTTGTCTGAGGAGAACTCTTCTTGCTGTCTGAATTGTTTCAAACTCCTGGTAAATACTTCTCAGATGGAGGAGAAAGAAGATTTAATTGTCTCCTTTGTCTGTCTCCCTCGATGTGACTTACTCCTGGAGGCCTAAAAATGTGTCTTCATGGATGTTTTATAACAGTGTAATGTAATTTTATTTGCTAAAAGATGTTTGACAATAAGTATTTACTACATTATCTTAATACAAGCACTCTCTTGGGTTTTTTGGGGTTTCTTTTTGTCTCAGATTTGAAGACTTCCTTGCTCGCAAGTGGTCGTCTGAAAAGAGATTTGGTTTGGAAGGATGTGAAGTAATGATTCCTGCACTTAAGACAATCATTGATAAATCCAGTGAAATGGGAATTGAGTATGTTATAATGGGGATGCCTCACAGGTAATGTCACTGGAAACCCCCTCACAAATGGGTTTATTGCCTAGAGTCTAGGACAGAGAAAGCTTGGCAAGATAGTGTTAAACTTACATTTGCAGTCTGCCTTAATGAATTAATTATTAATATCATTACACTAAGACTGATAGACAGCTACAACAGTCATTGCCTGTGCTTGGGTAACTGGGTGTTATAAAACATCTGTGGGAAGGCGTTGGAGGGACTTTGCAATGGGCAGGAGAAGGTTAGAATGAAGGGTTTCAGGTTCTGAAGTTTGACCTAAACTTCTTACCAGTGGCTTGCTGATTTTCCAAGTTTTATGCTGTTAACTCTATTACTACCCTTTTTGACACATAACTGTGTTTGGAATTTTCTTAGAGGTAGGCTGAATGTATTGGCTAACGTAATCCGGAAAGAACTGGAGCAGATCTTCTGTCAGTTTGATCCCAAACTTGAAGCAGCTGATGAGGTAAGATGCTTCTTCAACAGGTCTACATGGAGAGGTCAACATTCAGGGAAGTTTTTGGTAATTTTGGTCATGTTTATTATGAAAATAGCATTATCAGCTGCTAAAATGCAGTGTTGTCTTTTCTGGTTTCATATTCTGAGAAATATGATTTGGTGAAATTTCTTAACGAATTCAAAGGCTGTACCGTGCCTCTAACACACAGAAGGTATCTCATGACCGATTGTAGATAAGTAAGCTCAGGGTCATTTGACTGAGTTCATAATCCCTAAACATCTTTGTTTTATATAAATGAAATAAGTATCAATATTCTGTAAATATTTATCCATTATTTGGTAGTAAAATAAGAGCAGTGTTCCAGTTTGAAATCATGGTGTCACACCCGTAGTGCATACTGATGTACTAGATGCATTTTTTAGATTGAAGCACAAATTTTAGGTGTAGACAATCGGGTGCAGCTGGGGTGAAGGACATTACTGAATCGTGACTACGCCTTGCACGTTAGGGATCCGGAGATGTGAAATATCACCTGGGAATGTACCATGAGAGGATCAACCGAGCAACAAACAAGAAAATCACTCTGTCCCTGATGGCTAACCCTTCTCACTTGGAAGCAGTTGATCCCGTTGTGCAAGGAAAAACAAAAGCTGAACAGTTTTATCGAGGGGATACAGCAGGGAAAAAGGTAAAGATTGTTTAATATCTTAACTCTTACTGCTAGTTTTCCGTATTATTTTTAATAAAAATAGTTTACTAGTAGTTTTGTATCACGGAGTCTTCCTTTCTTCCTCCTTCACAAAAGGGTTATATCACCTGATGAACTAGATGAGGTACCTCAAGGGTAACTTCAGGAAGTAGGCTTGAAACTTTTTCATTTGTGAACTGAGCAGAGAGAGCAGAATGCTGAGAAGTCTATGGTTTATTATAAAAATACAGTTCCATTTTATAAGTACTACAGAAATACAGAGCAAAGAAACCCTGCTGAGAAGCTTAAATTGCAGTTCTGCTTTGTAACACGTGTGGCTGTGTGCGTATAACCCTCCCTCTTAGGTGATGTCCATATTACTGCATGGGGACGCTGCCTTTGCGGGACAAGGAGTGGTTTATGAGACGTTTCACCTTAGTGACCTGCCGTCCTATACCACCAATGGCACTATTCATGTTGTGGTCAACAACCAGGTAATGAGTAGAGGGTTTTCCAATTGATTTATCTGCTGAGTAGTTGCTAGCTGGTGTTTGTTTTTTTTTAATTATTATTGTTTGTTGTTATCCGGGTGCATTGACTGCTTTGTTTATTAGAATGGTTAGGATGTTCCTGAAAATGATCACAGTATCTAGCAGCACCGAGTGGAAAAATATTTTATCACCTCCGTTTATTTCGTTCAGTTTATAACACTGGATTAGGTTTGCTTTGTTTTATTTTTAAGGGAACAAAAAGAAGCTAGATAGCCAAAATAAAAAGATGATACTCCTGCTGCCTAAATGACTATTAAATGAAAACCTCAAACCTTCAAAACAATGAGATGCCCAAATTAGTTTAATGGAAGTCTCTGGAATTTTTAGATTGGCTTCACCACAGACCCCCGCATGGCCCGTTCATCTCCATACCCTACTGATGTTGCTCGGGTGGTCAATGCTCCCATTTTTCATGTCAACGCTGATGACCCCGAAGCAGTGATGTATGTGTGCAGTGTAGCTGCAGAATGGCGAAACACGTTCAATAAAGATGTGGTGGTTGACTTGGTAAGTCTTGATTTTTTTCTTAATTTTTCGTTCTGTGTGTTATGCACTACTCTCTTATTTTTCTGTGGCTTAGAAGACCCAGTCAAGAAACACATTTTGATTTTAATGGTCTTTAGTTTCTTCATTAAAAAAACCAAACCAGATTACACCTAATAGATTACAAGAATCCATCAATGCTTTTATGCCATAAACCTCCTAAAAAATCTCTGTAAAATGATACAATTGAAAGATTTCATTTTACATTTTTCCTTACCAACAGAAACAATCTTTCTCTCTTTGTAGGTTTGTTACCGTAGGAGAGGGCACAATGAAATGGATGAACCAATGTTCACCCAGCCTCTAATGTACAAGCAGATTCATAAGCAGGTGCCGGTGCTGAAGAAGTATGCTGACAAACTGATTGCAGATGGGACTGTGACACTGCAGGAGTTTGAGGTACGTGCCAGCGGGGTTACAGGGAACTTAAGACGCTGAGGTAGGCAGGCACAACTGTCACTGTATGCTGTCTGCTTAAAAACTTTCATTACTGTGATGAGTCTTCACCCTTTGACACTTTCTGATTCAATTTTTGGGTTTTCATGTAAAATAGTGTTGTAACAAAAGGACTGGGAGTGCTGTCAAGTAATTAATGCATGTTGCACAGAAAAGAATTTGCTTCAATTCTGAGATTTGTAAAAGGTGATCAGATGTGAATGTTGGAGATGGAGACATTTGTCAGCTGGCCTTTATCTCTAGAATCTTGATTCAGTGGTAAGACAGTATTTTAATGCTCGTAGGTATAACTGTAGCTTCAGGCCTCTATCTAGCAGTAATGCAATAAAATCAATGTAACCTTTTAATTTTCTTACAATAAATCAGCTAAGTTCAGGGATCATTTGAAATACTCCAGAAAGATGAAGTGTAGCATCTGGTGCCTGCATTAAGCTGGTTAGGTCCTTACCTTAATCTTTTTGAAAGGCAGCCTGCAGATGCGCAGAAGGGCCCCTGAGGAGGTGAGCCTGGCTGTAATGACCCAGCGCGGCACACCAAGGACACGGCAGCCTGTGGGTGCATTCTGTTCCCCGCTGGAATGCTCACAGCTCCTGCGGAGCGGGCCAGTAGTGCCAGGGGCTTGGGGCACTGGATCCTGGACCTGGGTGGAGGCTTTGCTGTACAGACTGAGCTCAGCACTGCTGTTAATTACTTACTGTTTAAGGTTGGTTAGCTCAACCACATGCCTGTGGTTTTGGATCAAAACATAGGTATTGTAGAGGGTTCTGCCTCCCTAGGGTATGGTTCTGTATCTGTGCCATTGATGGGTGTGGCCAGCAGATTCTTAGCTAGGCTCTCCAAGCCAGACTAATTTTCTTGGAGATTCTTTTCTAGTCTTTAGTGGCTTCTGCAGCCAGAAGTATGAGAGCTGAGTAATGCTGATGTTAGAAGTACGACTGTAAACTGTATTTGGTACTTCAGAAGCATCTCGTTCTAGAGTAATGCTTGCAACTTCAGTTCTTGGTACTCTCCTCTGTAACATCTGTCCAACAAACGAAATAATTTATTTAATGTGGGTAAGCACGTTTCTAGAATGCAATTTGATCCTAGATAAAATGAAATTGTTTGTTTGCAACTAAACGTTCCTCAAGTGAAATAACTGTTTTTATCATACTGAATGATAGGTGTCGTCTGTAAGATACACGGGTGTTACATTTATCTGTTTCAAAAAGAAAGTTTTTCTTCTGCAGGAAGAAATTGCAAAGTACGATAGGATATGTGAAGAAGCATATACTAGATCTAAGGATAATAAGATCTTACATATCAAGCACTGGCTTGATTCACCTTGGCCTGGTAAGAAGTGTCCCTTCACTTATCCTAGAGTTAATATTACTGTGCTTTGACTTTGAGTCCATATTCTAGAACTCAAATGTTTTTTATCGGTGTTCCTTTCAAATAAAACGTGACCTTCAGTTTACCCCTGTTAGTAGTAAATAGGTGAAGTAAGTAGTAAAAGGTGAAAGACTAGGTTTAGGCTGCTGCGTAGAATGTGTTTTAAGAGTTGTGAGTTTTTACATAAATTGCAGATAGTGTAGATATCTCTTAATCAGCCCTCGAATATCTCACCAAATCTTTTACTTCCAGGATTCTTTAACATGGATGGAGAACCCAAGAGCATGTCTTGTCCTCCGACTGGCATTTCAGAAGACCTGCTGACTCACATTGGCAATGTAGCTAGTTCAGTGCCAGTCGAAGACTTCAAAATACACGCAGGTCAGCTGGAGTCTTTGCTTCTCCTAGTGGCTACGTTTCTTGCTCAGATTTTATATTTCTGCACACAAGTTGCTGTTGGGCCATTTCTCAAAGAGGAAAATGCTTGTGACTTCTATTTTAACTCTTCCACCCTATGGGCAAGGAGAATGTGACAGTTACGGTCCTGCTGCTTGTTCTCCGCATAATGTTCTTTCAGTATCACGCCACTTCTGTTCCCTACCTCATTAAAATAGCTTTTCCTCTGAGGGAGGAAACGTCTCTTTTTAATGTTAAGTTAATAGCTCCTTTCATTCCTCAGGTCCCTGTGGAACACGCTTCCTCTGTGCAGCACGTTTGTGGGACTTGCAAGGCAGTGAGACACCCATCTCAGGAAGCACTATTTAATGTTTGGGGGTTTTAATGCCAGAACCAGTGGTAACTTGAGGTCTGCTTAAGACACTCTCCTTGTAGTTCGATAACTTTCTACACAGCAATTATAGCTTGGTCTTTTCAGACCTGGCAACTCTGCTGATATACTTAAGAGCCTAATTTTCATACAGCTGAATGGACTCTGGGCAAAAGATAGTTTTTCTTTGTTTACCATTTAGCACTGATGATAGCACAAATCTAGCGTTTTCTCAAACAGCTTTAACTTTCGGTCTAAAAACATCTCGTTCTGTATTTGGCATCTATTACAGTAAGAATCTGAATGTGCTGGTCTCCCTGGGGAGCCCTGACGCTGTGTCAGTCCTGAGTTAATTCTTTTGCTCCCTGGTCAGGTTGAAGTCTAGCAGCAGCTCTACAGGGAGCAGTGACGTGTTAATTCCATGGGAGAACGTGCAGATGTTTTGTTTAGGGATCTTTTTTCTTTTGTTGGCTTGTAGGGAACGTACTTAAGATCAGGAGAAAGAGCTTTTTTTTCTGTGTAAAATCTTTAGCTAATCTTTCCTCTCCAGAGTCATCCATCAGGGAATAAAGTGTCTGCTGTGGTATGCGTTTGTGTTCCTTTGGGACAATTAAACACTGTTACTGGTAACGATGATGGGGTATTCCCAGTTATCAATTGCAAGCTTGTTGAGCAGATACAGTTAATCAATGAACTTTAAAACTCTTTTACACGTTTGTGCACTTCGTTGTGACACAGATACATTTGAAATTATAAGTCAGCCAATGAAATTTTGTATTAGACATTTAATTAAAAAGGTAATACAGTCTCTCTTTAGTGACTTGATTAATCAGTGACACTATGTAATACTTGCCAGTATAGAAGATAAATTTATGGCTCAAAGCAAACTTTGGTCTGCTAGATTCTTTTATGCAGTTTAAAAGGCCATGAGGAAAAAATTTGGGAGAATTAGAAGGGGAAGAGCACCTTTGTCCTTCCACTAGAACAAACCAGCTTAATATCTTGCAGTCTTTCAGCAAACAATTGGAAGATTATTTCGGTTTATCAAATGTTTAGTATATTCTAAAGAGAAGATTTTCAAGTTGTGTTTTGGTTTTTTTTTTTCTTAAAATGCAACAATTTTGATGAGACAGTAGTTTTATGTGGAAAGCAAGCAGGGCAATTTTTTTTTTAATGTAATGTGAATATAAAATACCTCTGAAATAGGTCTACTGATTGCTGACCTTTATTCCAATGTAGGACTCTCTCGGATTTTGAGAGCCCGCCTGGAAATGACCAAGAACAGGGTTGTCGACTGGGCCTTAGCAGAATACATGGCTTTTGGCTCTTTCCTGCGGGAAGGGATCCACGTCCGGCTGAGTGGACAGGATGTGGAGAGGGGCACGTTTAGGTGAGCACTGACGTAATTGTTAAATGTTGTCCCATACTTAAACATCTTGGCATTTTTTAAACAACATGGTCTTCTGTGGGGAAGGGGCAGTTGAGGCTATTCAGCATTAATCTGGATGTTATGGATTCGGGCAGTCAAGAATAATGAAATCGCCTGTATCTCTGTAAACAGCATTTAAAGAATTGTATTTAAGGCAAAATAAATGTTCTTAGATACTTTCTTCATTCTCTTGATGAAAAGCAGAAATTATTTTTTTCTGCTTTTTAACTAAAAATCCGGCTGCAGTCTATCTCATGGCTGAGAAGTGAAAGAAGGGCATTTGCTGCTGCAGATTTTGAAGTCTTAAATACCATTCCAGTGGCGGCTGCTTGGAACTCGGGTGTCCTGTGCCCAAACGTGTTGCCAGTTGAGAAGGCTTTTTAAAGTGGAATAAGGTTCTTTGTACCAAGATTTTTAATGGCTGTGGAGCATGAATGAACACGGAATCTGATCACTTGGTAAAATACATTCAGTTCTGCTGCCTTACCTGATTCTCTGTGGAGTAAAATGTTAGTGATGTATTTAATTGGAGCCTTTGATGCGAAGCCCGTCACAGGGGGTGAATGAACTGGCAGCTGCACGGCGCTTCGTTGTGAATACTTGCAGGAAAGAGAGAGAAATCTTGGTGCCAGTCTTCTCTGATACAGTGCTCCGTTTCTGTGCTGAGCTTCGTTTGGTATCCAGTCTTTTGGGCTTTCTTCTTTTTACTCCCATTCTAATGGCGCTGTAACAAAATCCTTTAAACGAGACCTGAAAAACAAAACTGAAAATCAGGAGATTTCCTCTCCAATTTCTCATCCTCCTTGGTGTCAGTACCCTGGTCTTGTAAAGTGGTGACCATCTCCAGGGAGAGGAGCACGCATGGTCACTGTTTAGCAGCCTGCCCACCTGTTTCAGGTGAGTGCTTGGTCGTGTCTAGCACGTGCCTATAGACTTCTGTTGAGAATACTGATTCTCTGTTTTCCCAGTTCTCTCACTGGTGGAAGAGGATTTTCCACAAGTACTGTCCAGATTTTCTTTAAGATAAAAATAATTGTTTTGATCACAGTAATACAGGGGAAAAAAAATAAAGAATTGTGTTCAAATAAAAAGCTATTTAGACTGACGAAGACTAGCTATTCCTATTGCCATCTGGATTTTACTATTCAGCCTTTTAGAGAAGGAGTAAAAAGGTGTTCAAACAAATTCTTACAAAGTTCAGGACTGAAGCTGGTGCTGCAGATGTTTGATTTATATGACCTGGTTCTGCTTTACCACTGAGTTTTGAGTTTGCCTGAGGGGTAGTGGGATCTCCAAAATACTAACCTGTGGTGTGGTTATGAATTCTTGTTATGGATGTGATGGGCCAGTTGGACAATAAAGGGTGAGATTAAGCCAAAAGCCTTGGAGCTGAGGAAGTCAGAGAATATTCAGCTACTCTGTGGAACAGAAGGGAATGCTGTAAGAGTGTCTAAGACAGCCTGTTATACTGCATTCAGGCTTATTTCATCAGAGGAACAGGTAGAAAAGTTAACTTGTGCTACAGGCACACGTAAGAGATGCTGCAGCTTTCAGTAAAGCTGCTCTTCTTTAGCTGTGGTTGAGTTTGTCATTTATAATAAAGGTGAGCACGTTCCCTAACAGCATAGACGTTGGCAAATGCTGGTGTATTTTTATTGGAAAAACCACACTGCAGACACATGGAAAGTGTATGTCATTTCATCCTCTCTCTGTACTGAGAAGAACCTCCTTTGCTGCCAAAAAATCTTTGAGGTGCATCATGTCTCAAATCTCTGGGACTAATTGAAGAGGGGAGCGTCAGCTAGAATTTGGGGAGGATTGCCGGTAGTGCGTTGCCATCAGGAAGACAGCATGATGGGAGTGCTTTCACTCTTGTGGAGCTCCTGAGGTGCCGTCTAGAAATCAGCCCTTTGTGTCAGTATTCAGTGTGACAGCTTTCTTCCCGTCTCAGTGCTCAACATCACAAATAGACAGAAGCTAGGTGAAGCTGCAGCTAGGAGAGCCCCTTCTCGTGTTGGAGACACGCTGGGGAAGGGAAGGGGGAGAGAGACTTGCTTCTGTCCTGGTTTGATGTCAGTAAACCCGACAACCACGCGACGGCGATATCTGTCTGTGTGTTTCTGGCTGTCCATCTGTGCTCGCTGTAATCACTTTTTGCTGGGGAAAGACAAAACTTTGTGCTAAAGAAGCTTATCACCTAGCTGTGCCTTCTGTCTCGGCTGAATGGCAAAAAGAAAATGACAGCACCAAAAATTATTTCTGCCTAACAGCTGTCTGGTGTGTGTACCTTCCCCTTTCTATCTGCTTCCCTCCCTGTGCTGTTCTTCAAAGATTCTGTCTCTTCCTGGCTTTATATTGTTGACTTCTAAATAAATTTCAGAGCTCTCTTGCTAGCATTCATTATAGCAAAGGGAAGTGCCAAAAGATTCAGCCTTCAGTTCAGTGTTGGCAGCGATACAACACACAGGAGTTGTTACCAGTATAATAACTGTCCTTATGTTAGCAGTTGTAAAGCTGGACATATTGGTGGGATTCACTCAGTTAGTCTGCTCAGAGAGTTAATGGATTGCAGTAATTACCTCAGTCATCTCTGTTCTGGTATTGTTCCTGGGTGCCCCATTCTAATGGTGATTAATGGTGTCCTAGAGAACTGTAAGTGGTGCGTGCGAGTGGAAACAGCAGAAAAGAGGATACAACTGCTTCAAGTCTTCGTGCCGGCATTAGATGAGATTGAATTTTTGCATAAAAGTCAAGAGTTGGTTTAAGGAAAAGATTAATAGTATTTGCCGGCGAGGCACAATAAAATGTTTTTAATATTTTTTTCTTCTGTTGTTCGTTTTGTTGCTGGTTTTTTTCTTACTTTAATCAGTCTGTTTTATAGCAACAACCTCCCCACCCATTCCCTTCTCCCCAGTTCTTCTAGTGCTGAGGTATTTCTGGTTTTCACGAGAGCTTGAGAGCGAGCCTGGATAGTCAGGGAAAGTCCTTATGGTGAAGCAATTGCATTTAGACGTGTGATCCTTTTGCTAGGTTTCAAGCAAACCAGGGTGTTGCATGAAGCAAAGACAACTGTGCTACTTGCATGCTTTCTGGAACGTGGCTTTGATAGTTTATCTTTGAAAACAGCCCTTTTAAAGCCCGGAGTTATTCTCAGCTAATTTCTTGTAACAACTGTTTGCAGCCATCGTCATCACGTGCTTCATGACCAAGAAGTGGACAAGAGAACGTGTGTTCCCATGAATCACCTCTGGGAGCAGCAGGCCCCCTACACCGTGTGCAACAGCTCCCTTTCCGAGTACGGTGTCCTAGGTAGGTCTCGGGGTCACTCCTGGCAGGTCTGCTCCTGTTTTAGGAGGTCTCACACAAGAGGTAGGAAATGATGACTGGTAATTAAGAGGATTTTTTTTTTTTTCTCAGATTTTGCTTTAATGACGGTCAATCCTTCTGACTACAAACTTTTGCTTTGTTACTTGAGTTTGCTAAGCCTCGAAACAAACAGACAAAAGTCTCCTCCTCTAGTGGCATTTCATGATAAACAAACTGTATTTCACATTGTCACATTCATAACAGTTTTATGTCAGGTGGGAGCCAGGAATTGCAGAACAGGGAACTAAAATCCAATCAGAATGCCTCAACTGATTCTCCCTCACTCCCTGAAAAAAAAAGTATATCAAGAGATTCAATAAATTTACCCTGTTCGTGGTGAGATTCGTCCCTTACTGATTCTTCACCTCGAAGGATTTTAAAAAAAATCATGGTAATATAAACTTTAAGCCAAACTCTTAGAGGTTTGTTGTTTTTTTTTTTTTTTTTTTTCCCTAGAGTGTGCTATGATGGGTCTTGGTTTTAACGTATTTAGTTTTAACATTTTAGAATAAATTAAAAATTAAAGGGGAAAACTCTGAGTCTGTGTTTGTGTGGGTTTTATTTCTTTTTTTTTCTGTTTAATTTTTGAATGTGTTGCCTGTGGTATCGGGCATATTAATTTGCAGGTTTCAGTGTGCTTGCGGTGCAAAACTTTCTGCACTCTTCAAATGGTACACCTGCTTGTTTAGACTGCTTAGAACCTGCTTGTACTCCCAAATAATAAACTGGGAGGCTTAAGCAGCCTCTGGTGGGAAAGTCACAGAATCTGCTGGCATTGGCATCATTAGGATTCAACACAGTAATGACAGAGGATGGAGTTCAGAGAATAATGTAGCTATACAAGAAGCAGAGCTCAGCAAGAAAGAGGATGTGGAAAAAAGCTGTAAGACAGTTGTATGTGAAACGGATACCAAAGCTCTCCCTCTCAGGTTCTGGCATCTCTTAAACAAGCATCCCCACGTTTTACAGTCCTGGGCTTCAGTTGAAGTATCCGTCGGTGTGGTTGATCTTGGCCGTGTTGGAACATGCCCCTGATGCTTCCTCAAAAGCAGAGGAGCTGTCAAATATGAATGTGACAGATGTCTGGGTATGGTTGAAATCTGGTTTTGTTCCAAAAATTACACTTTAATAGGTCTAGGAAGCCTAGTGTGAATAGGGTGTGAGGGGCAATTCTTACTGCCACAATTCTGTTCTAACCAAATAGACTCTCTTTCCTGATCTCTATTTCTCTTCCCTGCTCACTATCGCTCTTCTACCTTCCTCAGCAGCAGAAATGTGAAAGTTGGATTTAATAACTTCCATTTACAAGCAATAGGGAAAAATACAGACATGTTCATATGCTGAAAATGAGTCTCATCCCTGTGCAATTCTGCTTCAGCAGATGTGAGGACAGGTTCTTCAAAACTAATAATACTGATGTTTCTAATTATTAAGAACTTTAAACCCCTTATGACTGAGATATTTTCTAACAGTAAATCAGATTAAATTGATAGAAATAGTTGATAAGTGCTGATTTTTTAAATTATTTTTTTTACTACAAATGCCATTTTCTGTGGTGAAGTGATTTTTATAATTAAGTTTCCTCTCCTGTGGTAGCTTTTACATATCAACCTTTTCCAACATGTTTACTCTTGTGTGTTGTAACCAGAGAGAGACAGCGCTGGGATAAGCAGCCCCGTGTGGATGTGTCTCTTCTGTTAAGCATCTCGGTCGAAGAGGAGCTGTTAGAATGCTTAGGCTGGTAGCATCACCCACTCTCTTTAGTACATGGAAAAATAAGTGAATGCTTGCAGTTCAAGGAATTGATTCTTCAGGAGCAGCAAAAATCCCCAACACTTTATTTTCTCTAACTGCTATTTCTATTATATAAGCCTGTTCAGTGAACAGTTTGGGATTAGTGCCCTGAAGTAGTTGTGGTGGGGTGGGAGGGTTGTGAGATGATATAAAGGGGAGGGGAAAACCTAGTGTTAAGAATTTTAATTGGTGACTGTGTTAACATGCAGTATCTCAGAAGCATTTTGGGAATTCCCTTCGTTCTGTTGAATTAGACCTAAGTAAAAATGGATTGAACAGCCCAGCATGATCAAACTACAGATTATTTCCTTGGCAGGCACACAAGCCAAGAGCTGGCATCTGTTCGGAGCAAGGAGCTTTGCAGCAAGGTACTGCTGAGCTGGTTAAGAACACCTGGGGTGTAACTGCTCTGTTAAAATGATACTCTGACAAGACTGATTTCAGTTAGAAATAAAACAAAAGCAGTCTGAACTTGTAGTTCACACAATTGCTTCTGGTTTATATACAAGAAGCTGTGGAGTGTGTGTACTGGGGCATTAAATCAGGGTATTTAACAACCTCTGATAATTTTGGTTTACATCCTATGGCTACTATTTTTAGCTATATCCAGATTATTACAATTTAGTTGTGCATCCACTCGTCTAGCTGCAAATTTTCTCTTTTACTGAAACTGAATGTCTGGGAGTATAAGTGACGGCTGTGTGAAGTCATTTAAGCAAAAATGTTTGAGTTTGTTTGCTGATTGATCTAGAGGAGAAAAGCAGAAGTAACTTACGGGTGCTCCGTGCTATCTTTCAGCATTTTTTAAATACTTGAAAGGATCTCCCGTCTTTCTTTACTGCCCTGAGAATGACTTGTGTGGTGTTGATTCTCCATCCAGGAGATGTGATTCTGTCGGGTTCAGTACTGGCTTTGAGAGGTCTTGGGCTGTAGCGTCCTGTACTGGGAACTTCAGGGAACATCCAGGCAAGATGGACTTGGAACTAGCGCGTAGTTCAGCCGATTCCTGAACCGGGAGACCTAGAGTACAGCTTTTCCAAGGGGGAGGATCGTGTTTAAAGCAAAAGATGAAGGGAAGAGGACAAGTACTGTTTAAACTTTTTTTTTTTTTTTCCGATATGCTCCTAGGATGAAATATGTAGTATTACTACTCATTCAGACCAACGTATTTGTAAAGTTAGGAGTAGCAAATACAATTACCTGTCAGAAATTGTGCTAGGAAATAGGACAGACTGCCGTAGTAACCAAGGCCCAGGTTCTCAGTGGTGCCTGTGTGGAGCTTTAAGGCAGCATCAGTGTTTCTGTTTAACAGTCAGCCACCAGACGGGTATTAACTTCGCTTCCTCTGGGCTGGGTTTGGGTTTGGGAAAGGATGCATGTCCCTCTGCTCCTCCCTGGGCTTAGATTTTTCTGTTAAACATAGCACAAATCCGTCTTTGTAACTCTCCTCATTCTGACATTAAATCCCTGCGCTGATAAGCCCTCTATAACCGTTAACATTCCTGCCTTAAGCCAGACCGAATTAAGCTATAGTCTTACATTAATTGAAAAAACTGCAGTTCTTATGACAATCATGAAAAGTGCTGTGGCGAAAGCCGCAGCCTGATGTGCTGTGTAAGCTGCCACTTGGCTTGACAACACCTTTCTCTGCCAGAGTGACAGAAGAACACTGAGGGAGCACAGCAGGAGCTGGACTGATAGAAACAGGCATTTCTGCTCTGCCTGTCATCTGGGGACCTTAATGAACCTCAGCAATTAAAGCATTAGTTTTGCAGCCTTAGTCAAGTGCTGTGTCGTCATCTTTCCTCCGCCCTCAGTTTGGAAGTTCACTGAACCGCTGTGCCGGGCCCTGGCGTGCTCCCCGCCACCCCCGGGGTCTGCAGAGCCTTACCTGTCGTTCTGTGACAGCCGTGTCTTGCAGACTCGTCGTCTTGGCACTGGATTTCCTCACAGCTCAAACCTTGTTCTCCGTGTTTCTAGCTCTGTAAGGGTTAATCCTTTAAGCCCGTAACGTTCGCACAGCGCTCTGAAGAAATGTCCGGTTTCGTCTCTGCAAACACAAACACTACAAGTGTGCGAGGTCTCTGCTGCGGTTTTCTGAACCCTTTGGTCTGAGGTTGAGCCCTCGAGAGGGGCCCGGGAAGGAGCCTGCTCTGCTGCAGTTCAGGTCCCAGCTCATCCAGCTGTGGAGTCTTTCTAGCCCTGACCTTGACTCATCTGGTGAGCCCACAAATCCCTTTCAGGGGAAGCCCCTCACCCTCTCCTGGGTTGTTCACCTTGCATCTGTCTAGATGTCTTTCCACCAATTTTTTTTTTTTTTTTAATTTAACAGTTCAAATCTTGCTCTTTAAATGACTTTTGCCCACATGTAGGTGAAGTAATCCTCGTCAGACTCCCCAGCAATTGCTATAATCGCTGATGGAATAGCTTTAATGTTAGGAACTCTCACTGCCCGGTGGAAGAGGAGTTCTGGTATGCCAAAGACGGGGATACCACAGACAGATGGTCCATGTAGTAGTAGTGTTGGCACAACTAATTTCAATATATGAATCAGAATGTATAGATTACATTTGCCTATATTTTCCCAGAGATTTTTACGGCTCTCGGAAAGTTTGCAGAAGGTATCTGTGCTACGGTCGCACCTTTCAATGCAGCTTCACCTTGGACATTGTCACCTTGTGGAGATTATTAGCACAAAGTGGGCAACCAGATAGGAAACGAGAAATGACACTCTTTTTCATCCATGCGTATTTTAGGGGCGATTCTGGTACATGAAACAGAATTATGTGTGTGCTCTGACCATGTTTTAAATATGTGTAGAGCTCCGTGCTCTTAGAAAAGCACCGTGTGATTAGTGATAGCTCCAAGTGGTCGAGACCTCAGTTTGTTCTTCTCTAGAAGCTGGATTACCCCATCCTGCCAAAGAGCAGCATATGCACAAATAAGTCTTGAACATATTGCATATTTTCTCAACCATGTCACCCAATCAGTAGAAATGGTCTCTTAATGCTTGTGTAAAATTAGAATGGGAATCAAGCCTATCTAGGGAAATCTATTTTTACAAAAACCTTTGGGAACACACATTGAAGGAGTTGTGTAACTTTTCCACTGTTTGCATTGTGTTAAAAACAATAGAATCACCCAAATAAAGAGGACAGGGATTTAAAATATGTTCTGAAAGAAAGGCTGTTGAGGCAGTCGGGCCAAAGGAGTGGTCACCAGAAGCTGTCCTTGGTGATGCACTGCCAGGATGACTCACAGGCCCTCTGTCAAACTTCTCAGTCTCCTTTTGGCCTCTAACTTACCAGCTGCCTTTCGGTGTGGACATGATGATCTGCTGGATTTATGGATGGACTGCTCAGAGTTCAGCAGTCCAGAAGCCAAGTGACTCAAAGATTTCTTGCCTTGGAGGTGCTAAACAAAAAGCTGGGTTGGAATCGCCAAGGAGCAGACTATGAAGACACACTATAAAAAAGTGTGTAAAACTTTCCTCTGGGAATAAACAATTTTACTTGAAGCTCTTGTTGCTTTTTCTCTCGTGTGATTAATTTGTCCTGCAGTTGTCCCTCTACTAACCTTCCAGGAAGGTTTGTGTACTGACATGGACTGAGCAGCCTGGTCCGGTAGCAGAAGAAAGAAATCCTGTAGTTCCAATTTAGCTGTAGTCATCGAGTTAAGTTTAAGCAATTTCAGTTTCAGGCATAGATAACCTATGTCAAAACTTAATGTCAGGTGTTGGAAGGATGCTCTTTTGATACTTGACTGATCTCACCAGCTCTGAGAGTTTTTCTTGTGGAACCAGACAAGTTTCAACTTTCTGTTAATTAGTTCTCAATTTTATTTCCTGTTCATTAGTTCTCAGTTTTATAAGGTGGAAATGCTTGTCCTTCACTGCCTTTTTTTGGGGTTGTTTGGGTTTTTTTTTTTTTTCCAGTTTGACAGTAAAACTTTCAGGGAAGGAACTGCTTGTGTATGTTTGTGGCACCTGGCACACAAAGACCTCAGTGTTAGCCTGGAGCTCTGAGTATCTCTGACACTGAACAGAACGTAAGAGTTTAACAAAAACAAAAAACGTCAAAGGAGGTTTGAATAGGTTTGACTTGATCCTGAAATCTTCCTCTAACTACGTCAGTACTTGCACTGATAACGTTACAGTAACTCGTGTGCTGCATGTACTGCTTGCTGTTCTCTTCTATCTCCTAATATATTAAATTTTTTTAATGCCTGGAATGCCAGGCCATCTTAAAGGTAATTTAGGTATTTTTCTATTATTGCTTATATAGGTTTTTTGGTATTATATTTCTCTCTGAAGTAATTCTCTTCTCCATTGAATTCCACAAAGTCGCTCCCATAGGGACAGCAGCCTCTCGTCTCCAGGGTGTGAATCACAAGTGGTCAGCGTGAGAGAGATACCGGCTGTCACTTGCTGGTGACTCCATGGCAGAACCCTCTGTGGGTGGAGGATGTGCGGATGGAGCTTGTCTCTTCCAGGAAGCCTGAGTTTTTTTGAAGTTCCTGAAACTTTTCTAATTTAAAGAGTTGTATAGCGGGTTTGATCAGAATCAGAAACCGTGGTTCCAGTGCCTTTGGAGTTTGTCGTGGCTTTGCACCAGTTTGCTGTAGTTTACCAGTTAGCAGTGGTCACAAAGCCGTGCTGGATTTCACTGATACACAAGGTTTAGTTGGCACATTGGGTACCTGACTTATGATTGTGTTTGGGCTCATGGCCACCTTTGGGTCTAGGAAATACTGTCCACAGCGTGAGGTTTTGTAGGTGGATATTTTTATCCTGTACTCCTGAGAATGTCTGTCTGCAAGTTAAAAAAGGAGGAGGAACCCCAGAAAAGCATAGTCTCTAGGCAGGTGTAGCATCCTCTCGGATATGAAAGGATTTCTCTCTGCACCCCAAATGCCAGTCTTGGATGCATTTCTGTCTGAATTAAATGTACACTCTTCCTCTGACAGTTTGGAGGTGGGGGGACCCTGGGGCTCAGCGGGACAAATTAAGCAATTTGGATGTTTTTGTTACCAAAAACTTCATTTTTTGCCTAAGCTGGTTTTGCTCTCTAGCCTATCTTGTAGAACAGCATTTGGGTGGCTCCCGTGTCACAGTAAGGAAAACAGGTCAAAATGGAAATTAAGAGTCACTTCTATATAACAAGAACACAAAGCTGAGTTCAGTGTAGATCAATGGTAGAGGGATGGGACTCTGCAACTTAGGTTACGTGTGCAGATCTTAAGAAGCTGGAAAGAGATAAATCCATATCAGTCTGTTAGCTCACTCTGAGGTTTTCAGTCTTGCAATTACGCAGGAAAGAGTTGCAACTCATTATTGTAGCTTTTTTAATAAAATTTATTGCTGTCCTGGGGTAACCTTCAGTGAGAGTCTTCCCATGTTGCAATTCTGTATTTGAAAGGAGATTTTGTATTCTGTGCAGAACTTTGAAGATTCAACATAAACCATTTATCCATCACGTGTTTATTCTCTGTGTGTATTGAATCAGTCTTCCCTCGATCAGAACCTCTACATCCAGAGCAGTGCTACGTAGCACTGTTTTTTACTGAGAGCTTTAACTTTTTTGGGTTTTATCGTTCCGTACTATAGGTGTAGAATATGAGTATAGGTATTTGCTCAACACTCCAGGCTCAGCTATATCAGAGTGTCAAAAATACCTGCAGAGATCAAATATATGTTCTTATTTTATTAGAGACATTTAGGTGTTCATGACAGAATGTGGTGCAGAAATTTTCTGTTTGTTTGGTTCTAGGTTTTGAGCTCGGCTTCGCTATGGCCAGTCCCAATGCCCTGGTGTGCTGGGAGGCCCAGTTTGGCGACTTCCACAACACGGCGCAGTGCATCATAGACCAGTTCATCAGCTCCGGCCAGGCCAAGTGGGTTCGTCACAACGGGATCGTCCTGCTCTTGCCACATGGGATGGAAGGAATGGTGAGGGCCGCTGGCGGGTGCAGGCAGGAGGGCAATGCTGCCTACTGTGCCTTCTGCTGCTCTAAGAGCCAAAGGTGATGGGGATCCGCTGGGGACACAAAGCCAGGGGGAGGAGGGCACTGTTTAGCAGGTTGGACTGTTTCGGTGCTGCAGAAAATGGGGATGGATTGATTGGGGAGAACCAAACAATCCTGGGAAATATTTCTGTGCTCTTAGCTTTGTGTCCTTCTTAGTGGCATATACCACTTTTTCCCCTATTTCTTTTTTTACCCCTCTCTTTTTTTATTCATTTTTTTGTATCTTTCCCTAAGACACTGCTTTCTTTCCCTGGAAAGATGGATTCTTAGTGTACAGTGAGAGCGAGATCATGCGTGTCTGGCAGTACTCCGTTTTATTTTGCATGAAGTATGTCTGTGTAAACTCTGCACTAAATTCTCTTGCAATGAAATGATATGAAACAACTTTAAAACATCTTCAAAAATCATTGACATTTGGTAACTTTGATACAATAAGACATTTCCCTCTTTCTGAAAAGGAAAATGTTTCCTCTAGCTCTTTTCTGACTCTCTGGTGGCTGGTAGGAGGAACTAGACAGCATCTTAGAGGGAAAGGGCACGGGCACACTCTGTATATAAAGTTATATGAAGTTTATATCAGCAATAGAATTGTTCTTCAGATCTTTTAAATTATTTTTAAAGGTTACATGACCATCATGTCAGGCTAGGTCAATTTTCTCCTTTTCAAACACGTTAACATTCATGAATTGATGCATGTATGTTTTTAGTTTTCAGTTAAGCATAGTATGTGCCACAGCAGCAATCTCCATCTGTATAAATACTCTAGACCCTTTTGCTACAAACTGGGTCATTTCCATTCTCACAAACAATTTAGTTGATTTCCATCCAATTATAATCCTGTCCTGGTACACTGGGGTGCATTCAGAGCTTATGAGTGGCTTTCCGTATCCATTTGTGCGTAAAGAATAAAGGGTCTGGTGCTGTTCACGAGAGTTTTGATAAATTGATTTCGTTTTAAATGAATCCTGAAGGACAGCCTGAGTGTGCCCTCAGCAGGAGGGGTGGTCCTCTGCAGGGAAACGCTCAGCTGAAGGCAGCTGATTCTCTGCTGCTTGCAGTACAGTTCATCTTTCTTTTCTCTTAGCCACTCGGCAGCTAAGATTTGCCCAGATTTTCTAAAAGCATACTTGTTTTGCTACTAGTGTCAGGTGGTTTTGCAATATTTAAGGATCCCACCAGGCTGTCGAAATCCATTATCTTCCCAGAGGAGCTTTCCACTCCAGGAGTGTTGTTCTCTCTAACTACAGAGTTGGGGACAGAATGATTTGGGGAGGGATTTGTAACGAGATATGGATCCCTTCACCTCGAGGTCACGCACTCACAGGCGAGTTGGCTGTGATTGAAAGACTCTGCTGCCTAATGGCTCTTCGGGGACTCATCTGGAAGTAGCTAATGGGTTCAGTACGGGTCTGCCTGGATAGGTGGCCACAGCAGAGACAAGCCCTGTCCCACCCCACGCAGCAGTGGCTGGCAATCCGACTGGTGCCGTCAGCAGGAAAATCAGAGATGGATGTGAAGGTTGAGGCTCTGGGCTGAGGTTGCTGCTGGGGCAATGTGTGCGTGTCTTAGAGAAGCCTCACATGTCTCCCCTCCAGCTGTTTGGCAGCAGCACCTCTGTCTCCAGCGTGCTTGGGAAGGACTGTGTCTGTGGGCTTGGATTTACAGCACATCGGTGCACGCAGCAGAGGTGCTGCGCTGTCAGACTTCTACTGTGGGCTCTGCTTCTTGTTCTCAAGCCCTTACCCGTCCATGACCAGATTATTTGGCACCTCGAAGGTGGAGACAGACTTCAAAAGAGTAATTATGCAAGGCACAGGTCTTGGCTGTTTGTGTTGCTCCTTTGTTGCCAGCGGAGGGTTTTTTCCTTTGAATTCTGTTAGTCCACGGAGTAGAGTGCATCCTGCACTTGGGATCGGGGAGGATGATGTGTTGAATCAAGGTGGATGACTAGCTTTCAAAATAATGAGTGATTTTGGATATCATGTGTTAAGGTTTCGACAGAGGAAGTTATGATCTGAGATGGCCGTATAAAGAGCTCTTTATCAGCATCATTAGCTTAGGAACCACGGAGAAACTTGAGAGGTGTGATAGTTTGTGTCTTCGGGTTAAAATACTTTGCAGCTGTCTCCAAAATGGAAGTCCTTCCTAACAGTAACTGTCACATGAACAAGCAAAGGCTGCCAGCATTGCAATAAATAAAAAGCACACTGTATTCTCGTACTTCTGACGGCTTTCTCTCATCCTTTCTAAACAAGGACACGAGAGGGAAGATGACGGATTCCGTTACACTCCTTGTTGCCGATACTGTCTGTGGCCAAGTGCATCTTTTGCTAGTGTAAAGTGGATCTAATGGTGTTTGAGCACTAAAAGAAACGACCTTGGGTACTGCTTGTGAGACAGCAGATGTGAGCGTTCAGCGCCTTGGCAGAATGTGAAATGCCCCCTGAGGTGGCAGAAATTAACCATAGGTTAGTCTGTAGATAACACGTGCAGGTATTTTGACCCGTTTTAGCTGGAGCATTCATCTAGACTACCTTGTCCTGCACTGAACAGTGAACAATGGGAGGAGCGGGATCCTGAGTCTGCCTTTGTCGCTCATACAGCAGAGGTGGCTGGTGGTTAACTCTGCTCCTGGTCAGCGTGCAAGTGTGCTTTGGCCCAGAGGAGCGTGAGCCCCTGCGGTACAGGGAGGCACAGGCACACAGCCTTCCTCTTCCTGCCCTTCCTCCTGCTCCTTTTTGCCCTACGTTAGCAAGGTCGTTCTTGTGCCCACACGGACTTACTGCCCTGTCACCAGTCTTCACTCTGCAGCAGTACTGAGGCTAGAAATTACTTGCAGCTGGTAGAAGCATTGGAAATCCATGCGAAACTTGATCTTCTCCTATGGAAACAGTTTATGGAAGACAAAGAATTCCAGTCCTGCAGTGAGTCTTCTCTCCTCCCTGCTGCTGCTGCTGTTGGTGCTTTTGGCTGGGGGGTGGGTGTGCAACCTGGTGTAGAGCTGCCAGGGTGACGAGAGGCACTTACGCAGCGAGTGACCTAGGCTGATGTCTAACTGCTGGTTTGGCTTTTCATGTTGTTTTACACGATACCTTTACCAGGGTCCAGAGCATTCTTCAGCCAGACCTGAGAGGTTTCTGCAGATGAGCAATGATGATTCTGATGCTTATCCAGTAAGTAGATTTATCAAAGGCCATGTCCTTTTTTAGCTCTTCATGTCTCAGATTTTTTTGGTTTTTTTTTTTTTTTTTTGGTAAGAAGCATCCTTTTAGCTAGCTATAGAGGTTTAAGGTTTAGCTTCAAGACCTGATGTAACATTAACTCGATCCCAGTAAAAGTAATGGAAGTGTGCAGTATGTGCTGCTTCGTTGCAAATCTGAGGTCATATACAATTAATCTCTGGCAGCAGATCTCCTTATGGCTCTTCCTCAGGGCCACTGATGCTGCCTGTTTATATTGCTGTGCATACTGCAAAGAGGTGTCTCTAGCTGATTTCTAAAGGAGGCCAAGGGAAACTACTCCTGGCTTTTTGCAGTGGAGCGAAATGGTACTGTGGGGAGCATGAAAATAAGCAGCTCCTAAATTTGATTCAGGTAAGACCTTCATCCGTTGGTCGTTCATTTCCACAGATAAAAGTACACTGCTCTGCAGGATACTGGGCATCCGCCTCCCCACTGCAGATTTCCTAAGCAAAAAAAAAAAAAAAAAAAAAAAAAGGCAAAGTAAAATGAATGTTTTGGTGTTGGCCTGGAGTTTGTTACCCCTGGGGCAATGATCGTTCCAAAGCCGCCATCTTCCTCATCTAAAAGTGATTTTTGCCACTGTACTGGCAGACTAAAGACCTCTTCGGCTGACTACATTTAAGCACTGTCAGTGGCACATAGTTACAATTTTTATCATAGAAGGTTGGAGCTCAAACCATGGACCAGGAAATCATGTCGGGTGCTGTTCCAGTCTGTAATGAGATTACTGTACCTGTATGTGCTTACCTACTATACATGTACGTAGACATGGATTAAAAAAACCCCTATATTTATTAAACACATACATATAAAAATATGACATTTCTGTATTAAAATAGTATAAGAGGACAGGGCATCTCCTAAAAAGTGGGAGAGAGAAAGAGTTAACTATACATTCCAAAAATTAATTACAGTTTTAAGATTCTTTCAAAGGTGTTCTGGTTTGTGTCTTCTACCTACTGAAGTCCTGGTCCTCCTCACCCTTCCTTCCTGGACTTTCCAGCTTGCTCAATTAATGGAAGCTTTTTGCATTTATTTACATACATTTTTAGGAAAAAGGAGAAACAGAAGAGAACGATTTGCAGGGATGCTTCCCTACCTGATAACATACTCTCAGCAGAGATCTGCTAATTATGTTTTTTGAGGAAAGGAGTTGCTGGGAGTCAGAAATAGAAGAATGGCTTTCAAAGCCTTTTTTCCTGATCTTTTAGACATTTTTTTTTTAATGCCTTTAATATCTCTCTCAGGAGTTCAGTGAGCAGTTTGAAGTTTCCCAGCTGTATGAATGCAACTGGATTGTGGTGAATTGTTCAACTCCAGCCAATTATTTTCATGTCCTCAGAAGACAGATCTTGCTGCCATTCAGGAAACCGGTAAAGTTACTGTCATGGACTTGATTATTCTGGGTGTGTTAACCCTCACGTAAAGAGGGGTCTTTGTTTGGATTTGACAGAATGCTGAAAAGAGCAAGAATCGTTGGTGAAAAACCTTAATTGAACACAGGTTGAAGTGGCTGGTTTCATGGAATGAGTCTCAGCTCTGACTCACTACGATTCTAAACCTTGATTTTCAGCTTTTCTTCCTTCTGGCTGTGCAGACCTTCAGATGAGCTGGAGAAGACCCTGTGTAGCTCAGAGCTGTGGCTATAACCTGTGTGTCTAATGGCTGGGACTTCAGAAACCTAGAGATACAACTGTTGGACGTTTTACTGGTTCACAGCCTGTGATTTGATTCTGTTCTCAAAAAGAAGCCTAAGCAATGACTTCTGAGAACCTTTTCAGGGAGTGGACTACCCAGGTCGTTTGAATAGTTTTGAAACTTTTGAGGCTTTCAAAACAGGCAAAAATAATTGACTGTGTTTGCTATTCACATTAATTTTATCTGTAGCATATTCAGTTTGTGTTTTTTGTTTGAACAGTTACAAGTGTTGCATGTAATAATGTAGACAAAGCAGCTCCTGAGTGTTGGAAAAATTTCTGTCTTACAGCTGATTGTTTTGACACCCAAGTCACTGCTGAGGCATCCAGAAGCTAAATCCAGTTTTGATGAAATGGTGTCTGGTAGGTCACGTTAAAGTATTATGGACAAATAGCTATACCAAGGCACGTGTCAGACTGAAGAGGAGAATCTGCTCTGGAGAGTTTGCCTTTTCCCTTGGCGTAATTTCTGTGGAGCTGTCGTGGTGAGATCTAGCATGGACTTTTGCTGAGAAGTCTGCTTTTGAGTATGGCTGCTTAATTTTAACAGGCTTCTCTTGTAACCAGCTATTAATCAGTGGAAAGTGCATTCCCCTCTCTGCAGGGAGGTTCCCCTCAACGGGCTGTGAGGTCCCTCTGCTCTCTTTCTCTTCATATAAAAATGGAATTGTTCTTTGTGCTGCGTCCCTGCCCCCAACACGTGATGGATAGGCTGTAATCACACCGTGCCCCTTCGGAAGAATGAGGGGCTCATTTCTTCCTACAGTGCTCAGTTCTGGGGCTGCCCTGTCCCACCGGTGTTCTGAGGTGAGATCAGTGAGTTCAGAGCTGCGGGCTGCCACCCTGGCTCTGGTTGGCATGCCGTCAGCACCGAGAGAGACGGAGCAGCTGCAGAAGTAATCCCCAAACCTGGAGTGATTTGCCTTCCCGTGCGCTGCTTAGAGCATGTTAGAGTGGCACGAGGAAAGGCAGTGAAATGTAGTGAGTGATTAAAGCAGTTGTTCAGAGCTGGGCCAGTGTGAATAAGCGTGGTGGTCTCTAGTGGGTGTCTTCAGAAAAGAGTAACTGCTCTGTTTTTGAAAGCAGATTAGAGTTTATAAACATGCTTTATATCGCATTGTCTCCTTTTTGTAGGTGAGTAAAGCTTTTCAAGCAGAGGCATTTGCTGGTTTTGGATTACTGTTTAAAAACTTTGTAGAATGAGTCAGATTAGAAATTGTGTAGGGATTGTGATTTGTGTCTTGGGTGTCTCTTCTACTTCAGGCTAACCCTCAGTAGTGGCCAAACTCCTCCTCATCACTGAATTCTGCTATAGTCTCGTGTTCCTGCTGAAGAGGACAGCAAGGAGTAAAGTATTGATGACTCTGAGCTAACTCTTCTTGCTCTGTTTTTAATGGAAAGCTGAGGAGGAGAGGAAGACTGACTCCAGCTGACCCAGTGAAGTGCAGATTCAGTCTTTTTTAATGATGAATTCTGCTGTTCCATGAGACAGGATAATTCTGACATAAATCAGTTCCCCTTTCATATGTTTGTGCTGCTGCTTTTCTTTCCCCAAGATAAATGATTCAAACAGGAGCTTATTCTCCTGGTAAGTGGGTGTGCTGATTCAGACTGGGAGGTCATGCTGCTGTCTGCTACCTTGCCGTTGGTTAATGTGGGAATAGTTCTAATCAATCATGTAAGAGAGCAAAGGAAAGAATCTTTTCGACCATCAAGTTCCTCTTCCAGTTTCATGTATCCCAAGCAAATTGTTCTCCTGGGGGATGATGTCACAGGGGAAAAGATACCTAGCAGTGAGGATATGTGTCTGAAATGGTATCGTATCACTTATACGGGTCAGTGCTGTGCTAATTCTTGCTTTGACTAATGTCATTTTAGCTCTCAGAAGTTTAAATCACGTGAATGTTTGGCAGTAATGCGTGTGCTTGTGTAAATATTTCTGCAGTTGCCAGATTTAGCTGCGTTATGAATGTGCTATGCTTTTATACAAAAATGTTCTTAAATTTTCTAAACCTGTATTAACGTTACATGGTTGAGCTCATCTTGGAAAGAAGAAACAACATTTCGGGTAAGTCTTGGAAAAAAAATATGGAAGCGAAGGTGAACTATCCAATCAGTTTAAAATTAGAGGCGTAATGCACAGCATAAAGCTAAAAAAGAATTTAGTGTTAACACGTTTCTGTCTGATACGTGTGGAAGAGTGAATTACTGACAGTCTTTTTGTAAAGTCACTTTAGCAGAAATAAATCTTTTTGTCTGAAAAGCAGCAATAGAGAGGCAGCAGAACCCCGTGACCATTGCAACCGCTGCTTGGTCAGTCAAGGAATGTTTCTCAGGCTGCCTCATTACGGTGTCAGTTCCACTGAGAGCACTTCTCTGATTTGTGCTCTAACTAGGCACCACTTTTCAACGTGTGATTCCTGAGAATGGGCTGGCAGCTCAGGCACCACATGAGGTCAAGAGAGTGATTTTCTGCACAGGGAAAGTATACTATGATCTTGTGAAAGAGAGAAAGAATCAAGACCTGGAGAAACAAGTGGCTATAACCAGACTTGAACAGGTGAGCTCTGGGATCCTCAGAAGACAGGGGCCTTGAGGAGACTTTCGGCCAAGGGTTCCTATGCTTTTAAATAGATAATCCTCACCAGAAAGGATGGCGATAGCGTTTTTACAGCACTTTGCGTCTGAGAAGACATTATCTAATCCTTCATGGCCTTGTGGAAAGGGAACACACCAACAGTAGGCTGGACAATGAGACCCAGAAAGCTTGATGACTTTTCCAGAGCACTGTCACAAAGTGATGGTTGCGGTGTGATGGCACCTCGCGTTTGTGTATCCATCCTGTGAGATTTAAATGTTGTGAATAGCGCACTTGGCCACTCCGCTGCCATTCGCTAAGTAAAGGCTTGTAGTGTTGCAGCTACTTCACTAGAAAAACTGAAGGAATGTGGGAGATCTGGGCTGTGACCTGCCTTTGTTCATACTGGTGTGGCTATAAAATATGTGTGTATTCACTTCTGACAGCGTGAAATCAACTAAAGAAATCGGAGTAATTTTAAAGAGCACGTAGCCTTTATGTTGGGCACTAAATGGTTAATTACAGTGGTTGGCTGTAACGCCCAGTAGTAAACGACTTCGCTGCCGTGGGCTAACACCGTGTAAGAGGAAGCTTTGCCACTTACCACCCTTTCTTTCCAGATCTCACCATTCCCCTTTGACTTGCTGAAAGAAGAACTTGAGAAGTATCCAGGCGCTGATCTGGTTTGGTGTCAGGAGGAACACAAAAACAGTGGATATTACGATTATGTCAAACCTCGTTTCCGCACTATCGTCAACCACACTCGACCCATATGGTATCAGACTTTAAACAATTGCTCTATCTCCTGCCCTGATTTGCTTGCTTTTTAAATTTGGTTGGTTTTTTTTTCTTTTAAATTTGTTTTTGATTTAAGGATGTTGTTCATGGGGAAGTCAGGTTCTTCACAAACCAACACCTCGAGTTTGGGTTCTTGGGTGAAGGAGGGAAAAGTCCAGATGACTGTTTCTCAAATACATCGTATATTATCTTGCTCCTCCTTGTAGTTCGTAAAGAAAATCATTACCAACGGGCTCAGCACTTAGCTCTCCTAGATCTTTCTCCCTTGTTGTCTAAGATTCTGTCTTTTTTAAGACTTTCACTCCAAATGTTAGGTTTCTGGAGGAAATGGTTGTTGTAAGAGCTCAGTCTGGGTACCTTTGCATTTATTTTAGATGACAGACTTGGATTTTACCGTGCAGCTGTTGGAGGAATGAGAGTCTTCTTGCCAAAAGCAAGTTATCTAATTATGAGGCAGTGTAGGTGGGAACGATGGGGGAGAAGTTGCAGCTTAATATTGATGGCAGGGGGAAAAGAGGGGGAAGCTGACTAGACAGTATAACTGATGGTGGAACTTAGATTGATTTTTGTTTAAGAAAGATTGATGATCAAATGTCCAATTCTGCCAGGCTGACTTGAATGAATTCAGCAGCATGGTCTCATGCTTGTTAGTGTCAAAATAGTGTCTCTTCTCACCTCGTTTGTCTGCCCAATTCCTTTTGTCACACAGGTATGTTGGCCGGGAGCCTGCTGCTGCAGCTGCCACAGGCAACAAGAACACGCACCTGGTGTCGCTCAGAAGGTTCTTGGATACAGCTTTCAACCTGGAGGCCTTTGAGGGAAAGACATTCTAGCTGCAGGGCACCCGCCCGTCTCTGACTAGGGGTCTCTCAAATCACGGCATCCAAAAGAGGAAATATTGGAAATTATGGAAACCGTGTATTTTTGCTTTGCCAGATAAAACGATCCAGCAGCTGACTTCATTAATCTGCACCTTGCTTTCCAGTCTGCAAAGGGAAAAAAAAAGAATTCCTACTTAGCTTCCACCATTTTTCATCACTTGTCTGTTTAGATTGGGACCTCTTTGGCACAAGGAGAGTCTCGTGTCCAGGGGTGCAGTGTCTAGCTGAGTGAGGCTCCAATCTCAGTCTGTAGGCACTTACTGCTAGTGAGTAGGCATGGGCAGCACGGCAGTTATACACATCCCTAAAAAAGAAGAGAGTATGTGTGAGAGCCACTAAGGACACAAAATGCATTGTTACAGGGAAGGTGGTTGACAGTTATTTCTGGATATACTGAAGAAGAGTCATGACACCGACAAGCGAAGAGTTAACAGGTGACTTTGGTAGAGAAATGTACTGGCTGTGGGTGTTGGAAGGAGATGGTAAGGTAGCCCCGTGATGTGAGGAGGAGCCTGAAATAGGAAGCCAGATTACAAAGTTTCTAAACCATGGGTGGTAACAAAAGTGGTGTGGACCACTTGGGTATAAGGTGGAGGAGGATGATGAAGGCAGAAATAAAAGGGACCAAGAAGAGTTTTGCTGGGGGTAGTTGAGGAGGGAAGAAGTCTACACAAGACAGAGCAGTGGGTGATCAGCAGGAGAATTCAGCATTAAATGACTTCAAAGGTAAGAGGTGACAGTGCCAAGTGCTCCCACTCCTCGGGCTGCCTGCTTTGACGCCCTGTGCTGTTGGGAGCTGCGGGGTCCTGCGAACGTCCCCGTTTTGGACCAACGCTCTTTCCCTCACCCAACTACGAGGATCTGCTTTTCTCTGACCTGGTAGCACTTGTGTTTGGATGAAAAATCTGTGTTTGTGCAACAAGTAGTCAGCTCTCTGCTTTGTCCGGGGCTAATCCCTGCCTCACATCTCCTTGCTGATAGTAATTCAGCTCTGAAGTGACAATTCCTGGTTTAGTCACCCTTTTTTATGTTAAGAGGAAGGCGAGCAAGTAACAGTTGCTGATTGACCAAAGGCACATGCTGTGGTTTTGTACAAGCAGTGATTGAATTTTTTTTTTTTTTTGTCCCTTGTGTTTATTTGTCAATTAGGACATCAACTGCCCTGTGCTTTCAGAATGGAGATAAAAGTGAAGCCCCTGGCGAGCTGGCTCTGTGTAAGGTGGCTGGGGTCCCGCGGGGGCTGGGGGGCAGAGAACAGTGGGGCCGGCAGTGCTGGGCTCCCTGGGAGGGCTCTGCTTCCTCCTCCTCCCCTGGGCACTGCTTTCCTCTCCCCTCCTAATGCGAGAGCCGGTGTCAGAAGTCCTCTTCCCTTCGGGTCTGGGTGAACCTTGTGACTGCAGCTTTCTGGGCTGGACTGCGGTGGCCGGAGACTTTCCCTCCTTCCTGCTGCCTGGCAGAGGAGACTGCTCAGGTACCAGTGAGGGGTGTGGTGGGACACAGGGCTGGTGGTGCTGAGAGCAGGAAGCAGTAAGGAGTGTCCTGTCCCCCTGCAGCGCCCGGAGGGTTATGCTGGATCCTCGGGGCAGCCACTTCAATGCAGCACAAGTGACTGAAAAACGTGTAGGTGAGACCTCCCCCCACCTCCCGCGCGTGGCCTGGGACATACGTGTGCTCTTGGCAGGGAGTTTTACCCGGCTGTGACAGAAAAAGACTTGACAGTCGATGCCCAGTTTATAGTCAGGTGATGCTGGGAAGCTGCTTGTCTCGTCAAAATAATCAGCCGCATCAAAACCTTTTTGCTACGGTCAGGTGCTGCGTGTCCAAGCAGGTTATCAGAAAGGGATGTGTGTGCCTTAGGCTGTCCCTTTATTTGGCCTGGCGACAACATGATGGTGAAAAAAAATAATCCTGTCAGAGCATAAAATCGATGTGGTAAGGTACTTACCGTGGGATCCAGAACCTAACTCAGTGTAATGTCCGCGAGACTCAGTGGCATCCTTGTAAACCAGGCTGCTGGCCTTGAGCTTTTTCTCTCGTTGAAACATTGAGGCTAATCCAGTCCTTTGAAACCTGATGAACTTGGAAAGTACTGCGGCGGAGAGCTGCAAATACCGTCTTCTGTGCATTTCTATAGCTCAAAACATGAAGCTGATAGACAGTAACCATTACCCGAGGTGTATTTAATGCTTTTATGAATACTTGTTTCTGTGGCAAGAATTGAGTGCATCTAAATGTTGCCGGCACCGTTTATTGTGTTCTCAGTTTGCATAAGGCAGGTCAGTGCTGCATGAAAGATGATAAACGCACTTACACCACCGTATATGCAGAGGTAGAACCCAAAATTAACATAGAAATGTAAGTGGTAAATGACAGGTTTCCATTTTCATTGTGTATCATAGATTGTGGCATAACAGTTGCATAAAAATTCCATCAAAGAATGTAAAAAAAACCCCAATGAAATAAAAATATGTAAGAACTAAATTCTCGGTTATGGCCGTTCTTTCTGACAGTTTCTCCTTTGAGTGCTGGCATTAGCGTCCTGTTTGTAAGAGTACTAGGGCAGCTCATTTTTCCATTTTCTGTTCCTTCCCTCACTAGTGGCTTATTTAAATGTGGCAGCGATGAGGGAGGCAGCGTTTGGGCTAGAAAAAGGTAATTATTCAAACCCCTTGGGTTAAACATAGTAATAGCATTGAGATTCTATTAGAATATTTTGGCTTGTGCTGTTCTAATTCTTTTAAGTAGTAAGTGAACACATTTCTATTTCAAGCAGAATTTTATTTAATACTTGAACTAAACTGGAATTAACGTCACTAATTTTTAAACACTGAAATTCATTTCCCTGAACGTGTTGGCTCAACGTATGTTTCTGTTGAATTAACTTTTCCTGTTGCCTGCTCTGTCAGAGAGTAGATGTCCAAAGGCTTACGAAAACACTCTAAATTGCTAAGTGCATAGATTACTAACTGGCAACTTTGAAGAAATCTGTGAAACCTTTTCAACCGAAGGCAATACATTTCAAAAATATTATTTTTCCCAGATAAATTTTATTTTGTTCTTCTATTCCTTTTGGCTATTAGGCTGCATTGTAAATAACGGCATTAAGAGAAGCACAGGCCAAAATAAGAGCTGAGAATTATCAGAAGTGGTTTAAAAAGCAGCAAGAATTGGAGAAGAGCTACTATTAATTTGTCTCCTCCTTGCAAGTATGTGGAATTTCTATTTCAGTCTGCGTGCTGTTTCCTGATGTCTTACACTAACGATGGAGAAAATGTACCCACTTCATCTCTGTCCCTGTTCTGCATAAACATGAAAAACTCCCAATAATCGGACAATAATCAGGCAGTTCCTTTGTGATACTAAAGCGATGCCATCATTAATGGCAAATGGAGATCTGGTTTGTTTAGAGGGGAAAGCAATTGTAGTCCTCGCTAGAGATGCTGCGTGAAACAGTGAAATACCATTTCTGTTGCGGAAACCTTTTTCACTGTTTATTATGTTTTATTCCTATTGACTAGTCCATAAATTCACTGATACTGTCACATGGGAGCACAGAGAAACTTTCTGTCCGTGCCGTACCCAGAGCTTTATGTTCTCCTCCCCGTCGGGACAGAGGATGTGCTCGGAGTGTCGCGAGTGAGGCAGCTCTGTGTAGGAGCTCAGCTTGGCTCTGGATTCGTTTCCCTGGATGGACATTAAACCCTATCAGTATCGTGGGTTCCTTTTAGTGGCGCTTCAGCTGACCCCGTTTTGGTTGGCCTTGCAGCGGGATAGCGGGTGAGTGCCAGGGACTTGGTGGGAGGGGCGGTGCTGCTTTGTGCCCTCACGGATTCACCTGCGGCGCTACCTGGGGTAAAGGAAAAAGTGCAAGTCGGTGCTAGAAGGTGCCTGAAAACACCCCCCAGGTATCCTCTGTCCAGGGCTTAGCGGTGCCACAGAGCAGAGCTCGGCTCTTGCCTCGAGCCTCCCCGAATGACCCTGCCCAGGTTGAGGGGTCGCTTCTGCAGGGATGCCTGGCTGGGGTTTCCAGAAAAGTTTCTGTTTCTGTAGGAAGCCAGTTCCACAGAAGCAGGAGAGGCCGTGGAGTGAATGTGAACCGTCACCACGTGCTGGCCAGGGCTTCGCAAGGGGAAATTTAATTAGTAAAAAGCAAAACATGTTTAAAGAAAGAGGATGTTTGCCCACATCTGAGGGAAGAGTGTGTTTCCCCAAATGAGTGTCTCCACTGCTGTGGATAAAATAAAGAGGATAAAATAAAATTGTGTAGTGCAGAACATGATAAAATGACTGTATGTAATTCCCCGTGACTAGAAATAAATGTTTAACAAACTGCTCCCAATAGGCTTGTTAAAGATGAAATATTTATTACTATATGTTAATTACAGGGTTTAAGCAGGACTTAAGTAATTTAAAGGGATTGGCTTCGCCTTGCTTTCAAGAATTGTATGTGATTAAATCCTCCTTCATCAGTTGTTCTTTGTGCTGGAGTGGTTTGCACAAACATATCCTCAATGACCGTGGTTGCAATGTTGATTACGTTGCGTGGGATGAATAGTGGGCAGTTTTCTTCATGAATTTCATGGCCCAAAGTCCATCAGAATGGATGTTTTTGCACGTGGGCTGAAACACAATAGCTTTTCGAGTCTGGAAAAGTCTTATTAATGTAGTAAAGTTGTATGTGACTCCTGGGATATTGGTCTCTGGCACTAACAATCAGTTTTGAAGAAGTCTGTGTGTAGTGGTTTGGTTTGGTTTGGGTTTTTTTTTGGGGTGTGTGTGTGCAGTATATTAGAGAAATACATACTTACCGTGGAAGTCATCTCCCTTCCCCTGAAAACAGCTTAAGATATAAAAAAACCCCAAAACCATAAATATTTCGCATCTTTACATCTTCAATAGTGCTTTGTGCCAGCATATTTTGCACAAAATTACCTTGAGGAACAATTTTTGGTCTGTCAGAACTTCAGGCTGTTGTTGACAAAACTTTGTCCTCTTGGAGCTGATGAAGGGCTGGAGCTCTGTGTTGTTTAGAGACTCTTCATTGCACCAACCTGCTGCCTGTTCAGAGGGGAAGATAAACAGAAATAAAGCAACCCAGTCTCCAGTGATTCCAAACGCTTCCTCGTTACACTCTTAGATAATTAGCTTGTGATCTGCTCGTTTAATAGATACCTGGTCATATGTGACCATGTTTATTTAATGTGCTCTGCAGTATTGATACCACAATACACCCTTCTCATTATAAAACAAACACTCTTTCATTTATTTACACCCATTCTGAAGCTCTTAGACAAAACTCTACAGTCTTCAGGAAAATGTATCTGAGGGTGCACGTCAGTGTATGACTGCTCATAAATAGCTTCTGCAGGGACTGTCAGGAAAAAAATAATATCTTTTTCCGTCTCTTCAGCATCACTGTTCTGATATTTACATGCATTAAAAAATAGGGATGTGCTGCTATTATTATTTTTTCTTTCTTTTTTTTTTTTTTTTTTTTTTTTTTACCAGTAAAACTGTATTTATCACAGTGATCACAATATTGCACAGCTCATGAAGTCAACAGATTTATGCAGAACTTTGGGGTACCTCTCTCTGTAAGAATGCCCGAAGGGAAATAAACAGAGAGACCTTGGTAGTGTATCCTGTTCCTGGAATTAATTCCAAAGCCTACGAAGAGCTCTACTTTGTAGTGTTTCCATCTATCCTTCCCGTGACCTTGGTGGGGATGCCTCCCAGGGTACGTTTACACGTGTAGGTGAGCCAATACTTGTGTGTCTGAATAGTGCCCGTGTGTGGATGCAGGACCCGCTGTCTTCTCTTAAAACAGAACTGATCAAAACTGGAAGTTGTAGGGAAGTAAATGGCCACGTTTCGGATTCATCTTAAATTCGTCATGCATCTTGGCTCTCACTTAGGAGCCTGCACTGAGTTATGGGTCTGGTAAATATGTGCCTTGACAGAGCAGAAGGACCTGCCTGTGTTCTCTGGGGCTGGTCCCCACTCACAACCAGTGGGCATTGACAGGGAATGTTCTCAATATTTTAAACAAAAATACCCGAAAATAACCAAAAGAAATCTGGACAGTTTAAAGCAGCTCTTAGAACTATTATTCTGCTCCCTCTCAACCTGAAAAAGAAATGATTTTTAAAAATAATTCACTCGCATAAAGCCCTTCCCTGCGCGAACTGTGAGGCGCCGTACAACTCGCACAGCACTTTCTACTGGAGAACTGGAAAACGTTTTAGGGAGCCCAAGATCTCTGTGACTCAAAGTGGTTGTCTCCGTTTCTGAGGAGGGAGATGGAGAAATGATTTCCTACGAGACTGCAAAGCGAATCTGTCCCAGACTTTCTCTTCATATGTAAAAACGATGCACGGAAATCCTTTGTGCTGCCGTGTTTTATATCGTGTGACTGGGCAGCCAACACATGCAATTAACGGGAAGGAAATTGAACTATGTATAGTGACATTGATTATTTTATTTTTGTTTTTTTTACTTATTAAAAACCCCCGACTATTGCATCCATTCAGCATTCCTCCAATGAAGTTTGAACTTTTCTGAGAACAGTGCTGCTATCAGCTGTGTGTTGCTTTATTTTTTCCAAGTGCCTGATCAGAAGAGCACCCGGGGAAGTCAATGATGAGCGCTCACAGTCACTTTAAAACAACCAAAGCATGCCTGAGAATAAATTGGATCTTCTCAACTCTTTTTGAGTTATTGTACAGAGTGGTTTCCTTCCCATGCACCACTTCCACCTCCACAAAAATGCTCCTAGGACTTTTTTTTTTTTTCTTTTCTTTTTTTTTTTCTCAGGCTGGTCACCGTGAAATGTCTCCCAGCAATAGCTGTGCCACTTTTGCATCAGGCAGCTGGGAATAAGCTAATTGAAAATTAA